TTTCCCAGTAAAACAGATCACTCTCTGCTCGTCAGTTGCTAACTATGTCATGTGATCACAATACCAGTTTTATCAGGAAGAGCAGAACACAATCTGAAACGTTAACAAAAATAGGCAGAATATAACAAAAAGCAGAAACGAATCTTGACAGAAACTCGTCAAGACCTTCTGCTCGGTTTTTGAATGCACATGCATGCGAAAGAAAAAAAAACCTAGATTAAAACAGAGCAGAAGGTTGGTACGTTCGTTTGTGTGCTGCCGATAATCAAGCCATAATCTAAGTACTTAGTTATTTATTTAATTCAATAAACTGTTACATGGGCTGGTTGGTTAATGGATCCCCTTCATTGACCTGATCCATTACGGAAGGGAGTAGCTACTCCCGGTAGTAGCTTATAATTTTCATATATATATATATATATATATATATATATATATATATATATATATATGTGTGTGTGTGTGTGTGTGTGTGTGTGTATATATATATATGTGTGTGTGTTTATATGTGTATATATATGTATATGTATATGTATATATATATATATATGTATATGTATATATATATATATGTATACATATATATACACACATATATACATACATATACATACACATATATATACATATACATACACATATATATACATATACATATATATATATATATGTATGTAGCATTCATGTAAGATAGCATCTTAAAACCATCTTCTACGAGACAAAATCAGAGTCCAATATGCTTAAAATCAATATAGCTAGTTTGATGACAGGATCAAATGGCTTCATGGTCTTTCAAAAGATTGTCACCTCAGCTCTCAATTCATAGATAAGTACACTGGTACTGCCTCTTGGTACCTTTTAAGGGTGCATGGAAATGTAAAAACTATAATAAAAAATTGCAATTGTACACAGTTGTTGATAACGTCAAACTGTGTATAGAGAGAGTGGTCATATTTTGACTTCACTTTTTTTTTAGCGAAACTAATTTAAACATCGATCGACCTTCGACCATGCATAATACGAGTCATGTGCAACTAGCTTACATATAGTGTTATATATATCAGCTGATTTCTGAGTATTGACTTGAGATATTATAATAGTTTATTTTTACAAAAAAAAATCACTAACATGTTCCAGAGTATAGATCTTTGTACGTGGTATATATAATTTGTTTTTTTAAAAAGAAACACATAAAGGAAGTTAATTAATGAATATGGGCAGTAGCGTACATATATGTCCTACATATATAGCTGGAAATTGTTGGAGTCAACACATGCATGATATATATATAGCAATTGGATAGTTTTTTGAGCGGTACAAATAAAATCATACGTATGTAGGAGTAGAAGGCTTTAATATATGTAACGTTCTGATTCTTCCAACAAAACGCATAAGCATCATTTTTTGGTTTATTCCTACTATATGCTATGGATACTGTATAGGTATATGCATGTCAGCTACCGTTTTGCAACGAATGAGGAGGTAGATATATAGGTCTGACAGGAGCATAGAGGCAAACCAGGCAAAACCTAGCATGACAATGTACATGGTACCGAGATTATTGTTTTCTTTTAACCATGACGAAAATTATTGTTCATTATTAAACTGCCATTACCCCATTAATTTTTTTGGGACTGAACTATTAGTCAATCGTGCAGCTAGGATCAAGCATCTTAATGGTTGGTGGTTCTCCAAGTTGGCAATATTTCTTTCATGGATGACAGATGATAAATCTCTACGTATCTCGGTTACAATCATGTTATTCACGCAGCATGCGTGGATATATTTTTTTTCAAAAAAAAAAGAACAGTCAGCTTAATAAGTTTCGTAGACAAAATAGTATGCAATAGCTGGGTAGTAGTCAGTACTACTATATATATTGAACTATCTACTATCAAGATGACTGCTAGGCTTAATATACTTGGTATATATATAATTTAATTGTCGCATCCCTCCATTTCAATATACATGTACGTGCTGAATTTTAATTACAAGTTGACACATGCATGAACTTTTCAACACTAGGGCACGTGCTCATCATTCTAGTTAATCCTTTAATTTCTTAGGCATAGTAATTTGTTTAAACATCCATCCTTCAATTAGCAGGATTTTTAAATTAATAAACTGCTGGTTCCTGTATAGGAAGAATAGTTTATAATAAATTGTCCTATACTCGAATTTTTTTAGCCCAAATTAGATATTTTCTTAATGCACCCATGCTGGAATATTCGTTTAATTCAGATGCACATTACAATGCTAAATTTCAGATTTGATTTGATTTATCATATATTTATGCCTTGAATTTAATTCATGGACATTACAATGCGTTGAATTCTCGTGGTAGTAGTAGTAGTAGTAGTAGTTTGGGAATTGCAATTTTCGTTTAATTGTATGTCTTTGTTTCAGTTTTTTTCTTACAAAATAGTGTATATGGCATGGACTGGATTGTTAAACATTGTTATTATTTATAGATTTTTAATAATATATTGTTGTGACATGTAACTGAATTCATACACAATAATTCCAAACAGTACTTTACATTCACTTTTACAGGACATCAGTTATACTTTCATTACAGTACATATATCCTTGTTAAGAAACTCGAATAACCAAATTTGCTATTTAAAGAACGTGTCGGTTTTGTGAATATGAGATTCAAATTGCGATTTGAAATATCGATTCATGTTTAGTGATTAATAAGGCCAATAGTATAAATAATAATATAAAGGAGGGATACATAATCATCCACCACTATTAGAACTCTAATAGTTCACTAATTAAGCGTGGAAGGGTGCACATACGGGACTCTTATACAGGTCTAGGGACGGCTTATTGAGGATAATAACAAATTATGATTTGGGAATATGTATGAAAAAAAATATGATACCTTCAAAATTCTTATGACAATCCTCTAATTCAAAGCGGGCCTTGATGGTATTGTAATGTGCATACTATGCCTCGGCTATAATGGGATGATTTGCTACTTTCAGCCGCATTAAAGTTTGCAATTTTTCAGTCACCAAGAATTACACATTGTAGTGCTATATAATTTTGTCACTGTACATACGTATATGGTTTTAGTCTATTTTTAATCTCAGTTTGCATGTTTTTACATGTAATTTTTGTAAGTTATTGTGGATTGTAAATAGTAATTTCCGTTCAAACTTTTATCTAAGAAATATGGAACTTTCCTCCAATATGATTGTTGTATTAGATTTAGCTCGTTTTCCAACAATGAGAGTGTTCTGCAACAGTTGACAAAATCTTAATTAGGAGAAAATTCCTTCCATACCTCTGAAATTTTAGTCGATCCCTTCTGTACCCTTGAATTTTCTTCACTCCCTGGTATACCTTTAAATTTTGATTTGGATCCCTTACATACTCTTATCGTCAGTTGACCGTTTAATATGTGTAGAAAAGTCAATTTTACCCTTCAATATGTGAGGAATATGTAGAAATATGTGGACTAAATTGTTGGAAGTATAGAAATTTGTTGTGTGACTATAATATTCATAAGTTTGTTGTACAAAAAATTTAATATATTAAAATAGTATGTGCAGCATTTTTTTAAATGATAAACATAGTTTTGGAAAACATTCCTATATAATATATACAACAGAAAAAGATATGTTGAACTACCATAAAAAAATGCTACATATACTCTTTTAATAAGTAAATAAATATTAATTTTTATGTCATCATGAAAAAAAACTTTGCCGTGAATAATACATTGTCCAATAAAATCATGAATATAATAGTCTTACATAACAAAATTATACACTTCCAACAATATAGCTAGTTTATAATTTCCATGTTTCCTTCATGTCTAAGGGCAAAATGGTCCTTTTCTTATGAATTAAACATTCAACTAACCGTCAATTAACGGAATAGGTATGAAAGGAATCAAATCCAACAGTAGACAAAACTTGGGGGCATAAAAAGGATTGGTTAAACTTTTAGGGGCATAGAAGGATTTTTATCCTTAGTCCTTAGATGGTGGGAAATAGAACTAATGTAATCTAATTTTATTATTCAATCCAATCTAAGATTGACCATTTGCAATCCAATTGGAATACACATGTAAATATTCATCGATATAAATATAGATATGTTTATTTTTTGTTGTATACATATGCTAGTAGTTGTTATAATCATATGGAACTAAATAATCGAAAAGTTTCAATTGAAAAAGCATTCAAATAACCACCGCAGCAGGTGACTTGCTAAAAGTGCTAGCCACCTATGGAAATTTTGGTTATCCTAGATGGCCGGTCTAACATGGCCATGTGCAATAAAAGTTTTTTTTTTTGCAGATGGCTCGGTTAGGTACACCGCTTGGAAAAACTATTTTCCTAGACGACCGTCCTAACTAACTAGCCTGTTTGTGAAAATCACTTATAGTAGGCGGCCGAGTTAGACTAGTCGGCTATACGAACATCACCCCCCTCCCCCGGTTTACAGTCAGGTTGAGTGAAAACAACCCATTTTCGGACACTTGAGGACGAGCCGTGTCCAGCTGCCTGAGAAAACTGATTTTTGTCACCAGTGAAAATTGATTTTGTGATAATAAACGTGTGCTCGTTTCTTCTCCACATATGCTAGCTTATAGGCTGCTATTATATACTCTCTCTCCATCCACAAAAGTTACACATATTTCACATTTGAGTTTTTCCAAATAAGTTGTTCATATTTATAGTCTTTATGCATTCAAGACTTAAATGAAGAGATAAATTAAATGTTTTATTAGAACCTAAAAAGTCATCTAAATACTCATTGGTTGCATACTTGCATTCACTCCTTGATTTTGTAACATTCAAAGTGATTTAATTTCTCCTTGGTCTTGATGTCAAAAGTAATATGCGTAACTTTTGTGTATGGAGGGAGTACTTGCTTTACTACTCCTAGCTAGCTAGGGAGTAACAGTTTTAGTTGCCTACAATTCAATACAATACAACTTCGTCTGGCGCCCTCAATCGATCTCGCTCTATAAATAGCGGACCATCCTTTCTTCCCTACACCACACACCAACACACACAAACCATTGCAACTGCACTACACTGCAGCACACACACCCCGCACCCACCAAGCTAAGTAATTAATCATCAATGGCTTCCGCCGTGGTGAAGATGGCCGTCGTCTGCCTGCTCCTCCTGTCCGCCGGTCATCTGATGGCCTCCGCCGCCGCCGCGCGCCCGGACACCGTCGACGACGCGGCGGCGCTGCTGCGCCTCAAGGACCGCATCGAGCTGCAGGAGGAGGAGGCCCTGGCCCTCGCCGAGGAGCTCGCCCTCCTCGACGACGGCGCCGGCGACGCCGTCGGAGCCGGCTGCTCCTGCAGCACCACCAAGTGCAAGACGTGCATCGCCACCTGCGGGATCAAGTGCTTCCCCAAGGGAATCAAAGGCTTCCCCACCTGCTTCTTCGCCTGCGTCTTCACCACCAGCAAGTGCTTCGCCTTCGGCGCCTAATCGATCAATCGATCACGTCGTCGTCTCGGCTCGTCATCAATCGCGATCGATCGGTCGTTTTCACCTAATAATAATATAATCATATGTGTGTGTGCAAAGAATAACGAATTAACCTCCCCAAGCTTCATGTATGCATACATGCATCGTTAGTGCATGTGTCCCTGATCATGGGTCTCTGGGGGAGGATCATGTTGTGTCGTGTGTCGGCTGTGTCTCGGTTATCGTCTTATCGATTTCGATCATATCGGCCAATTGTTGTCGCGCTGGCCACGTATATGTACTTGATCGATGACCGAGAAACTCCTAGGTCAATCTGTGTGTTCATATATACATCAGTCCAATAAATCGATCGTTAATTATATTACAAAGTTTTCGCATTTTACCGATACATGTTATTATATGTACTCCCTCACTGCTAAATAGCTTTTGCGGTAGGCACATAATGGATTTTCACAGATGGACATGTATATGAACCCCTTATTATAACCGATCGATAACTTTTATATAGGAGGCTGCGCAACTACATACATAATACTTTCTCTGTTTCATATTATAATACTTTCTCTGTTTCATATTATAAATCGTTTGACTTTTTTCCTAGTTAAACTTTGCTAAGTTTGATTAAGTTTATAGAATAATTTAGTAACATTTAAAATATCAAATTAGTTTCATTGAATCTAACATTAAATATATTTTGATAATATTTTCATTTTATGTTGAAAATACTTTTTTCCTATAAACTTTGTCGAGTTTGAAGAAGTTTAAATAGAAAAAAGTCAAACGACTTATAATATGAAACGGAGGAAGTAGTTGTTTTGTAGGCGGCAAGTTACACCATGCATCCACCTGTAAAAATAATTTTTGGTGCTAAAGAAAAACCTAGGTCAACCGCTAAATTCCTCATCCAACCCTGAAACCTGGCCTTGAAAATCATGCATGCAAAACTGACCAAACCAAAATAGAATAACCAGCTCAATTTCACACAGATTGCAAGAAACAAACTGTCCAACGACATCATCTCAATTTCATAGTAAAAAACCAATCAAATGAGCTCACCTGCCAATCTGCCATAGCTGGTTGACGACGAGCTTGCCACAGTAATTGTCACCGCTGCCAAGTAGAATCCCTCACCGTGGTTGTCGTCCCCATTGCCGAGACAACGTGCGCCCTCGCCACGGCCATCGTTGCAATGATTTGGTGGTTTTGAGGCCTAGCTAGTTGTAGCTACCGCTGAGATGAAGACCTTGGCAGATCCACCACTTCTACCGGCGCATCCCTAATCTGCCTATGCAGTGGCGGATCTAGGCCAGCTAGGGCTCAAGCCCTAGGCCTGGGATCCAAAGTCCATACAAATTTCATATATATATTTTTTAAAAAAAATGATTGAATTTATAGAGGAGAGGATAGGATAGCCTAGGCGTGGCTTCAAGCTATTTCCGCCATTGTCTGCATGGGCCCTCTGGCTATAAAAATATTTTTTTTCTATAGTGCCTCTCACCCAACAACAAAATTTCTTTCATTATATATCATCAACAACTATAAAATTTGCATCATATGAAAAAACATTCAAATACGAACAATGCCTCAAGTAACCATGTTAAATTTTAGTTATGGCACAATTTATTTTATTAGGCAGTCGTTTAGTTGATGGTATAATTGCACTTAATCTTGTTGCAAGCTACACTTGTGTTCTATATATGTTGTACTGTGGTCAATCAAACATCCCCATATACTTATTTGTTTAATGATTGCTCAAATGTTATAAATATTGATAAATGATAACTATGGATATCTTATATTTTGGAATAGAAGGTTTACATGCCATGTTGATGCCTAGATGAGCTGGTGCTCGTACTAATCTATATGTTATCTATGTTTGTACTCAAACGAGAGTAGTTATGTCCATTCAGTTCTTAATTAACTAATTTCTTATGCGTGTGATTAGCTAGAGATTGAACCTTAGCTAGCTCGTTCAATCTCTTTGTTTATATTGCCAATGTTACACAACATGATTATTAATCGTCCCTTTTCTCAGGCCCAAATACCTTACACATGTTGGCCTGGCCCATGCGAGGGAGCTCCGCATTGAACATTTATTTACAACAGTAAATTTTACTTTAGGTTACCTTTTATTATCACTACTGACATGCAATCTTTGCCGACGGTAAATATCACCGTTGGTAATCCTACAAAACTATTGGAAATGCTATGACCGATAGTTTATGGTGGGGGATCATCGGTCGGGATTGAGTGTGTCGGGGATTTGTCAACTCGCCAACGGTGATTCTATATACCGTTGGCAATTACTTTTCCAACGGAATATTCCAACCGTAAACCCGTCCAGATTTCATGGATTTCCATTAGGTCCTCCGTAACAGATACCATGATTCCCTACAGGATACTTCCTCCGTTTCATAATGCAAGTCATTCTAACATTTCTCACGTTCATATTGATGTTAATGAATCTAGACATATATATCTATCTAGATTCATTAACATCAATATAAATGTGGGAAATGCTAGAATGACTTACATTGTGAAACGGAGGAAGTAATATATTATTATTATTATTATTATTATTATTATTATTATTATTATTATTATTATTATTATTATTATTATTATTATTATTATTATTATTTTGTTTTATACCACCCTTTAACAAATTTTCCACTCTCAACAAGATAAATTTATCATTGTTGCATTTTAGACCACCCTCAACTATTTTATTCATATGCATCAATTTGTTATATATCAAAGCAATAGACTCAATATAATTGTGGGAATTCATTGATGAGTAGAAGTTGGTGTACTCAAAATCATTCATATGCTTGAGAAGAGAGTCAGGTAGTCCAAAGTGGGACAAAGGTAAGATTATCCAATTCAAAAACATTGATTAAATGGTGATCCATTGGTGATAAAAAGTGGTTCAATGTGAAATTTACTCTTGCATATATAGCCATTGCAAGACAAAATGGATCTGGAACGAGGAAATGAATGTTCAGTGCACAATTACCATCTCCTGTTGTAAGGACATGGTCAAAGATAAATGTAGGTTATTGAACTCTTAGATAATTCCCATATATTTAGGGAATATTCGGTCATTCCTTACAACAGTAAAGACAAAGGGTTTAGCCATTTAACCCAAAATATTCGCAGTGACTAACAACAACATAAAATTGCTCGTACCTTGTGAATGCCATCTCTTCAAGGAAAGATAACTTCTTCAAGGTAAGAGGGCCCTCTTCATTATTATGTCAAACACATCGGTAATTGGTATTTCACATGTTTGGTTTATGGGATAAACGCGCATCTTAATGATATTGTAATGTGCATACTATACATAGACTATAGTATATATATGGGATGATTTTGCTACTTTCAGGCGCAAGAAAATTTCCCAGTCACCAAGAATTGCACATGGTAGTGCTATGCAATTTTGTCGTTGTATATGGTTTTAGTCTATTTTTAATCTAAGTTTGCATATTTTTACATGTAATACTGGTAAGTTATCGTGGATTGTAAAATTATTTCTTGTTTAGATAAGAGTAATTTATTGTTCAAACTTTTATATAAGAAATTAAGGACTTCGATTTCAATTAGTAATGGTAAGAGTGATCACCATTGGATTGCAATCTAAGGGATAAGGGGCTGTCCAGGCGCTACTGACTATGATACATGGAAAGCAACACGAATTTCCTTTCTTTTGCTACTTCATCCGTCCGTAATATGTTCATTTTTAGCTCATTCCATTTATCATAAAATAATTATTTTTAGAGTAATTAATCATTGCATCAGAGTTTATAAAAGTAGAAAATTATTGTATTGGGAGTAGATAGATTGAGAAATAGTTGTATTGAGATTTGATAAAGTAGGGGTGTTCTAGAATTATTGGTTTTGTACTGGTACGTGTGAGATGAGTAAAAAATGAGCTTACTTGGGATGGAGATAGTAAATTTAAAAATCAAACCAGTGTACATCATTCGTTCCAAACAGAATGCAATTCTAACATTTAAATTCAGTAAAAAAAATTATAGCACTTCTGTCATTTAATTTTTCCTTGTTTTAAGCCCAACTACTTTCCCACTTCCAACCACTCCCTTGTTTAACAAGGGGCATCCAAGTAATTTCTTCTCCCTACTAGTTTGTCTTTTGAATGACTACAGTTGCAATTTTTTTATGAAGTATGCTTCAATATATTGAAGTATGTGTAGTATTAAAATTACAGCATATTTAATCTTCTTATCTCTTAACCCCTTTAGTTCCTACATATATTATTCTGGAATCAAGATCCGGTGCAGTTGTTATAGCGACTGCAAGTTAGGCAGTCACATCCCTTCACAACCATCGGATCAAGCTGATAAAGGACAGATAGCTGTGCCACGTCATAACCAATCTGCCAACGCTACAGTACATGCTACAGGGCGCTACAGGACTATATACGCGTGCTATAGTGTTCTGGCCGAATCTGAGCTGTTTTTCTTTGATCTGACGGTCACGCAAGGACTGCTAAAGTTGCAGTCCACATTACAACTGCAGGTGATCTCGATCCATTATTAAGACATGACTGCCAGGTTATGCAATTTCGTTTTGCGTATTTACGGCGGGGGCTAGCTTGGACGAAATTGTTATTAAATTTGAAAAGATCTTGACTGGGTTTGACCAAATTCTGGTTGAATTAAAAAAGTTAAAAATTTCGGACAAAATAGTTCTATGCCGGGCCCGAAATATATATGAGTGCACGTTCATTAAGTTGTAAATTGGCTCTCTCTCCAACGTACATACGGAATATATGATACAACTTACAGGTGCGAAGCTAAAACAAAATAGAGAGCAGTACCACTTGCTTGCTTTACTCTAGTTTAACGAAATAGAGAGCGATACCACTTGCTTGCTTTACTCTAGTTTAGATCAAGTTTAGACTGATATGAATGTATGAGTTTAGATTGAGGAGTACATATATAATGAAAAAAAAAATTCTTGACCGGATTTCTGACACCCCCTCTCCTACCTAGCTAGCTCCGTCCCTGTCGACTTAGAGCAAGTCTAATAGTATAGCCAACTACTAGCTCCAATTCATCTATAGCCAATCTAGTAGCTCATTCATACAATAGTTACATACTACACTATTAATACCTGGTCCCACCTGTCATACACATAATGTGTCTTCGAGTCCGTGCTATAGCTGGCTACAAATATGTAGCCCGTTGCTCTTCTCTCACCTCATTTATCTCTTTAAAATATGTTTACAGCTGGCTTATAGCCTGCTATTGTACCTGCTCTTAATATTTCGGCCCTCAATGTCTATGCAGTGTCATGTGTGCACTCTATAAATATAGCGAACCCTACTTCCTCGTAAGCCAACTAGCCAAGCCAATCGGTCCCCACGCTTACAAGCTACAACTTCACCTCACCCCTGCTGCATTCTCGCGTCCCAAGTTACAATCCATCAATGGCGGCTTCCACTTCCGCCGCGGTTAAGATGGCCGCCGCCGTCCTCTGCCTGATGGTCGCCCTCTCCGTCGCCGCCGGGCAGCTCACGACGACGGCCGCCGCCGCCACCTCCACGCGCGTGGATGATCACGTCGTCGAGGACGACGACGACGCGACGCCGACGACGCTGCAGCAGCTGGAGACGCGCCTCGCCGACGATCAGGACCTCGCCGACCTCCTCGACGGCGGCGACGGCGCCGCCACCATCTGCCCCAGCAACTGCCAGAAGTGCCTGGTCAAGTGCGCGGGCACCTGCGTCGCCGACATCGTCAGCCCGCCCACCTTCGTCGCCTGCTTCCTCAAGTGCGCCGTCGTCAAGCTCTGCTTCGCCAAGGTTTGATCATCATCGCGTCGGCGGCCGGCCGGCGATGGTCGACGGCGGCGCCGGTGCCGCTTGATTGCTTGCCTTGTTGTCTTGCTAGCTCGTGTCTACGTACTCCCTCCGTACCTATATATTTAACACCGTTAATTTTTTTAATATATTTGACAGTTTATCTTATTAAAAAAATAAAAAAATATTTTTTTCTTATTATTAAATATGTTTTTATTATATATATAGTTTTACATATTTAAAAAAATTAAATAAAATAAACGATTAAATATATTTAAATAAATTAACGGCGTTAAATATTTAAAAACGGAGGGAGTAGTCGAGGTCGCCATGCGTGCACTCCTGCATGCATGCATGCGTGGTGGTGGTGTGTGGAGACGATGATATTGGTGTCGCGTGTATCATTTCAGTTGCCGATCGATTTACGGCTGATGGTGTCGTTGACCATACAACTGTTTGGTGACTGAGGGAAATATATGTAACGTGTGTCCATCGGTAAAGATGTTGTTGCACGCACAAGCTAGCTAGCGTGGATTTTTAATTGGCAATGCTTCGCTTGTAAATTAAGCGTAATGCTTCTCTGAACGTGCAACAATCCTACACACGTTCACGTTAAAAAAGATTACAGTAGTGGTAAGTCAAACATTTACAACTTTAACTATTAATAGCCAACAAATAAAAAAGTTCAAACATATAAAATGGATGTTACTAGATTTGTCATTAAACAAAAACTATCGTAATATACGTAGGGGTGGACGAAAAGCTCGTGGCTCATTAGCTCGTTCGGCTCGACTCGACTCGTTGCATTTTCTTAAGGGACTATCTATACAACATTCGACTGAAAATTAGCCTAAAAATCTGTCAAATGTAACTGTAACATAATTACAATGTAATTTTCGTAATTACACTATATTTATACTATAATTACATATGTAATTTTCATAATTACACTATATTTGTACTATAATTACATATGTAACCTGCATCCGTCATCGGCCGGGTTCCCGCGGCGGGGAGAAGAGCATCGATGGCGTCCTTGAAGGTATCCATGAACGGCGGCGGTTTGTGGTGCCGTTCGGAGGCATAGGGGAAATTTTCGGTCTGGGAGAAAAAGAGGGAAAAAAAGAGAAAAGAAAGTGAGAAAGAAAATGTGACATTGACATGTGGGTCCCACGTGCTGAGTCAACCAGTTGGACCGAGTCAAAGCGCCATGTCAGCAAAACCATCTCTAAAACCGCTGAGGAAGTCAAATTTACCGGTTTTAATAGTTGGAGGAGTCATCCTACCCGGTTTTCTAGTTAAGGGGTATGAATTAGATTCGGCGTACTTTTAAGGGAGTCAATGTGGACTTTTTCCTTTACACCCATACCAAGTGAATCCAAATTGAAAACTAATCCATTAGACCCATTCCAATCCAACCCATTGGCAGGCTTAACTAGGCCACAATGAAGTCCACGTTTTTTCTCTAAGGCTCAAAACGCTCCAAAGTCCAAAGCCCATAATATTCCAACCCTAGTGTCCCTGGATTGAATCAAGAGTAAATTTCACAAAACTACACGTTTTGTAGTCCAAGTTACAGAAAACCACACACACTTTGACACTTGGCACTTAAGTATATATATTTTGGTAGTGTAGTTTCACAGAACCACACTATCAATGAATGGATTCACCCGCGAGATGACGTGATTGTTTCATCTAGGATGAGGACATGTCATCCTATTACCAGCCATCGCACGAAATTAATAGGATGCCACGTCTTCATCCTAGATGAAACGACCACGTCATCTCACGAGTAAATCCATTCATCGATAGTGTGGTTTTGTGAAACTAAACTACCAAAATATATGTACTTAAGTACCAAGTATCAAAATATTTATGGTTTTCTGCAACTTGAATCATAAAACATGTAGTTCTGTTAAATTTACTCTTGAATCAATCCATCGATCCCCAATCCCATTGCGCCTCCGTCATCGCCATTGTGAATCGCACCGCTACCGCAGCCTCGGCACCTCGCCTCCTTCGTCGGCAGCCGCATCCTCGCGCTTCCGCCCTCCCTCCTTCCTAGCCTTCACTCCGTCGTTGCACCATCTTGTGCTCCCAGGTCCGAGCACCGCAGCACGGTGTTACAGCCTCGATTGTTCGTCGATCTCGTTGCTCACTGAGGACGATGACTTCACCACAGCCCACATGTTAGCAATCGCCGTTGCCGTCGTTCTTCTGCTCAGGTGTGCCTTTGTAGTTTCAGACTTCCAGCACTTCTCAATAAATCTCACCCGATTTATTTTGCTACTTCTGGTGGTGTGTGTGCACCATGCAGCTGTTGGTCATCCAAACCGTTTCACCGTTGCGCTCGCCATGGAGGAGGAAAGCGACCTTCGTCAGCATGTGCCAGCTTGCGAGCTAAACGAGCTGAGTCGAGCTTACAGCCGAGCTGAGTTGAGCTGGCTCGAGCTTACAGCCGAGCTGAGTCGAGCTTACAGCCGAGCTGAGTTGAGCTGGCTCGAGCTTACAGCCGAGCTGAGCTGGGGTTTTTAGCTCGTTAGGTTAACGAACCGAGCCGGGCTAGCTCGTTATCCTAACGAGCTAGACCGAACCCGAGCTGAGCCAGCTCGACATCCACCCTTAAATATGCAACTCTTTTTATTTAAAGCATTTCAACTTTATAGATATTGTTGGTCAAAATAGTATCCCAAAAACTATGTCGAATTCTAAAAATGATTATATTTTGAGACGGAGGGAGTAACTGAAATGAAATAATATGTGGGGCTAGGGGTGTGAGGCCCACCTTTCAGCTACAGCTACTGAACAGCGGTAACCGCGGACAATCTCCGTCGAACATGAATCGAAGTGATGATGATTGGCGTTCTTTTCTTCTAAAGATGAAGATGAAGATTAAGGTTTTTTTTACGTAAAACGTATTAATGTATGATTGATTGAATTTTAATTATTATAAACTTAAAAAATCGATTAATATGATATTTTAGAGTAATTTTTATATAGAAAGTTTTCGTATGAAACGCACCGTTTAGCGGTTTAAAAACATGCCACGAAAATCTTAATCTTCATTCAATTTTTATTGGAGAAAAGAACAGACCTTAAGTCCAACAGTGAACTACGGACGCATGTCCTCTGCAGACTGCAGTTACTCTGTGCAATTCCCGTCGGTGAACGAGACTTTACGGATCCGTTCCCAACTCATGCTACAGATCATTCTGTGCACCCAATTCCAAGAGTTGGCAATGAGAATAATAGCTAAGGTGATGTTTGGATTCAGTGATTTAACTCTAGTCTGTATATTTAGTCATTAATTTAGTGTATTAAATATAGACTACTTACGAAACTAATTACATAAATAAAAGCTAATTCGTGAGATAAATTTTTTAAGCTTAATTAATCCATAATTAGATAATGTTTACTGTAGCATCATATAGGCTAATCATGAATTAATTAGGCTTAAGAGATTCGTCTCGCGAATTAGTTCAAGATTATGGATGGGTTTTATTAATAGTCTATGTTTAATATTTATAATTAGTGTCCAAACATCCGATGTGATAGGCACTTAAAAGTTTTAATCCCATCTAAACAGGTCGAAGTGCATTCCTTTCTTCAGTGATTTTTTCTGGCTCCAAACGGAGGATTCGGAGCTAGAGAGCTCCAAAACCACTTGTTTCATCAAGCTATTTGAAAATGTTGCTCTTTCGTGTCAACTAGTTTTCTTGACAAGTTGCAACAGTGCAGTACATTCATAATGTAACTGCTGCACAGTGCATAAATATGTTGGAAGAAACTAAAAGTTAAACTTTTGTCCCAGAAGGGAAAAATTGTTGCATAAATACAGTAGTTACACTGTTTCAGCTCTGAAAACTTAGCTTTTAAGAAAAATCTACTCATCTGGAAATAAAGTACATGTTGGTAAAAGAACAACCTTATGTTCCATGAATATATTAAAAATGCTCCATTGCAAAATTCTACGGAGTACTTCTCAACAGCCTACCTCATGAAAACAACAATATATGTTTTACAAAGTTGAACCCTGGATCCAAAAGAAGGGGTGTAAATTCTGAACTTATTCATTGTAGATTTTTTTTTTCAAATTTTCCTGAAGTTCACAAAAATGTAAATGCAAGAACGATTGTCTTTTCTTTTTCCTTTAACATTCTATCTCGCATTAATTCTCTATGCACACAACGATCATCGTTTTCGCTTCAGCATCCTACAATAATCCAATCGATTCTATGAACTACAGCACTATCAAGTAGCAAAAAAATAAAAATAATATTGCCATCTATGATCTATCTACTCTAAAATCTTCGAACAATCACCAGAAGAAAAAGAAATCAAGAGAGAGAGCGAACAAAAAAGAAAAAACAATGGACAAATGTACAGTTCAGCCGCTTTCATCATCTTTCTTCAATTCCACTCCTCTCTCTTCCCGGTGCAAGGGGAGCCCCTGGCTCCGCATGGTGTGGGTGCTCGACGTCGTCGTCGTCATGGCGTTGGACGCGGCCGACGTGGTGGCGTGCGACGCGGTGGTGGACGTCGACGGCGAGCTGGTCCCGGACGTGGACCCGACGGAGAAGTGGGAGCCGCCGCCGCCGCCGCGCGTGCCGTACGACCTCCGCCGGTACCGCGACCCGGGGACGCCCGGCCGCGTCGGCTCCTCCAGCGTGCTCTGCTTCTTGGACAGGATGATCACCACCCGCTTCATGTCCGGCCTCATCCGCGGGTCGGCCTGCACGCACAGCAGCCCGATCCGCACCAGCAGCTCCACCTGCTCCGTCGCCGCCGCCGACTTCACCGCCGGGTCGAGCAGCTCGATGCTCCTCCCCTTCTTGTACAGCCTCCACGCCTGCCCACACGAAGCAAATCCATCGCCATGAATGAGAGATCGAAGAGAAGTTGATGAGTACTCCCTCCGTCTGTTTTAAATTTAACGATAAATATAGTAATATTTATAATACTAAATTAATTTTATCAAATTAATAATTGAATATATTTTCTTAATAAATTTGTCTTAGGTTAAAAATATTACTACTTTTTTCTATAAATTTGATCAGACTTAAAACAGATTAACTTTAAGAGAGAAATTAAGATGATCGATGGAGAAATTAAGATGATGGATGGAGAGGACGTACGTGATCGAGGAGGTTGTCGGCGTCGGAGTCGGGGGGAGGGACGAAGGAGGAGTTCTTGTGGCCGGAGACGATCTCGAGGACGACGACGCCGAAGCTGAAGACGTCGGCCTTGGCGGAGAGGGCGCCGTGCATGAGGTACTCGGGGGCCATGTAGCCGTTGGTGCCGGCGACGCGGGTCTGGACGTGGGAGCGGCCGTCGCCGGCCTCCGGGAAGAGGCGGGCCATGCCGAAGTCGGCGATCTTGGGGACCCAGCGGTCGTCGAGGAGGATGTTGCTGGCCTTGATGTCGCGGTGGATGATGGGCGTGTGCGCGTCCTCGTGCAGGTACAGCAGCCCGCGCGCCACGCCCACCACCACCTCGTGCCGCCGCGCCCACGTCAGCTCCTCCCGCCGCCGCCGCCTCTCGCCGTCGCTGCTGCTGCCCGCTGATCCACCACGCATCCACCAAAGCCAAAACTCTCGTTATTACTCCATACAAATGCAGTAGTAGTAGTACATGGAATGCAACGATCATGAACCCTTTCTTGGCATGATGCCAAGATTCAGAAACCGCAGTTCTCGCAACAACGAAGCAAAACAGGGAAAACATATGGGCCGTTATGGGCCCAATGCAGGACAGGACAATTAAAGATCGGGAAAAAGGTTTACTTTAGGTCCCTAATATAAATCAAATTTTATTTACATCCATCAACTGATCAACCCCAAAACTCTTTCTACATTCTAAGATTTGTTCACGCCATTACGAATGAAAAATTTTACTCGCAGATTTACTCAAATTTATTCGGAGTAAAATTTTTACTCATAATAATGTAAACGAATCTTAAACTATCCATTTTTCGATCTAATGGTAGTTTTTCTAAGTCTTCAATACATAAGGAGATTTGCAGCACATAATTTCCCCTTTTTCTGGTACACTTCCGTCACACTATTATTGCTCACGTCGTTTGCGCACCGTGAGAACACACGTGTGCACGTGCAGCCTTTTCAGCTGTTGACCCACGGATCCAGCCGCCAGGCAGCCCGCCCACCGTATGCAGCCCTGAAAAACCAGCGTCCGTTTGTTCCCCTCTCGCCCCCAGTCCGCACGGCAGCAAGTTTGGCGCCACATGCGTGTCCACGTACTCGTATTTCCTACCGACGCGCTCTACTGCTATCGGCTTCTCACAGATATTCAGACGGCGACGCCTCTGCGTCACCCAGGACCAAACGAACCACTAGGAGAGCAGACAGCAGAGGCGTGTTTGCGAGTACTTTGGGCTTTGGCTAGTTGGCCCCCCGGTCCGGCCGTGCACACGAGTCAAGCACGTTAGAGCAGATACTATAGCAGACTATAAACAAGCTATAAAGATATTTTAAAAAGATAAAGGAAGATACAGTGGCATACTATATAAGTCAGCTATAAAGATATTTTAAAGAAATAAAAGAAGAGAGAGAAGAGTAGCAGGCTACATATCTACAGTCAGCTGCAACACAGACTCCAAGACGTAATATGTGTATAACAGGTGGGACTATGTATTAATAGTATAGTAAGCAAGTATTATATGAATTGACTATTATATTGGCTATACATAATTTAGAGCAAGTTTAATAGTATAGCCTACTATTAGCTCAAATCATCTATAGCCAATGTAATAGCTAATTCATACACTAGTTAATTACTATACTATTAATATAAGGTTCCGCATGTCATATACACATTACGTCTTGGAGTCTGTGCTGTAGCTGGCTACAGATATGTAGCCCACTGCTCTTCTCTCTTCCTTTATCTCTTTAAAATATGTTTATAGTTGGCTTATAGCCTGCTTTTATACCTGCTCTTATCCTATGGCTAGGTCGCTGGTAGCCCGGTACACCTACTTGTTGTTGTAGGTAGTACTAGTAGTACTACTAGCTTGTGGAGACCCCAAATGACCCAACTAATCCTAATAGGAAAACCACCAGGAGGGAAAGGAAAACGAAAGAGTAGGTGTGTGGTGTTGGGCATGCAACGGAGAAGACTTTTTTGACCCAGAGATGAGGGTTGACTTGGTCAAACCAATGAACTTTTAATAATAATAATAATAACTGAAGATGATGTGCATGGGTGTTGAGAAGCTGGTTCACACTGTATGTGCATCCAGGACCCACAGGGAGAATTCTTATGATTTTTCATGTGAATTAACTCAAATTATCGTATAAATTATACAAAATTACTTTGTTTCAAAGGAGGCACAAGAATATATTTTGCAGTGTGCAAAATCGTCAAAACCACTACGGGGATATGGTGAAAACACACACCGCCTTTGAGAAAGAGGAAGCAATCAGACAGAAGAAAGAACAAAGCGTGAGAAGAATGATTTGGTTTCTGAATTCTGACCAATCAGTCGAACATAATTTCTCTTCTGAGGGCCCCACGGTTTGTTAGTCCGTCGAATCTTATATTCCCTGAACGAACTCACTCTGACCAGAAAGGCACACCACCACGCATGATGAAAATCGCCCTTTTAGCGAAAAGGCAAAGCAGAGCAGCATTTGCAGGATCGATTTCTCATGCATCCATACGCAATCATGTGTGTGTGTGTGTGTCTCATCTGCAGCAGCAGAATGCCGCTTCTAGAAATGCACGAGAAATCAAAAGCAAGAAGAAATGGATAAACGCGACCTGAATTCTCATCTCAACTAATACTAGAGGTTTGGTCAGAGAAAGAAATTAGCGCATGCGACCAAAACCAGGCGAATCATAACAAGATCGCTACTGCAACCTTATTATAAAAGATCAATTACTTGGAGCAGGAGAGTTTGTTACGTGCAGTACATTCTGAGGACTGAGGTTAGAGCCGGCACCGGCAGCCAGCTGGCTTCCTAAAATCGCACGCGTGCCTAATAGGAAAACAGCCGAGAAGCCCTGCCTTTGCAATTTTGCAAAATAGACTATTTGATTAGGTGATTGAATTTTGCAAAGTACTAGAGACTTTGATTATGTGATTGATCAGAAGCCTTGGCCAAAGTTCATAGATGAAGTCCTGCCTTTGCGATTTTGCAAAATAGACTTTTGATTATGTGATTGAATTTTGCAAAGTAGAGACTTTGATCGTGTGATTGATCAGAAGCCTTGGCCAAAGTTCATAGATGTGGTTGCTGATGATAGATCGATCTTGGACTCGGTACTGCTACTAGTACGACACGGCTTCTGTGACTGCTGCGTCTTCTTCCAAAATCCCAACAGGGTAGCGATGTGGAGACGACGCGTCGCTGTACTTGTCAACGACTCTGGTCATCCACAACCATCACTGTGCCATAGTTATTGAATGTCTAATGCACCAAGCTATCCGTGGCCTATTTGGTTTATTACTAATGTAATAATGCAAGTTATCCCCAAATTTTCATAAACTATGCTTTTGTTGTTGTTAAGATTTTGGAAGTGTGTGAGCTTTAGTTGGCTTTGCCTAACAAAAACTTTGGGAGGCGTTTGGCAAATGGGCTTGGAAAAAGAATATATTACCCATCAAAGGATAGTTTTTATCCTAACCATACAATTCTTCTCATCTCATTCCATCCTAAACCTTCACTCATTTTTCTATCACAGTCCCATTCCTTGTAACCAAATGGTGGTTTGCTGGGAATGCTGGGTTTTATTCAACAAACCAAATGGGTTGATGGTTCCTTGAGTTTCTATTTTTCTTTTTGGTAAGCCAAACAACCACTAATATCCAGAGAGATGCTTCCAATTTTAATTTGGGAGGAATTTCATTTAAGAGAATTTGGGAGGAATCTTGAAACGTACAAGAACAGTTAAGCATACTAGTTTTGAATGAATGGAAGAGTTTTTCCAGGTTCCTATGGAAGCTACTACTATCTCATAAACAGGGAAAACAAACAGTTGGGAAATGCAAGACACAATTTTTTCAAGAACGAACAAATGAACATATGCCCTATCTTGTAGTAACAAATCTGCCTCAAATTTTCCATGCCTGATTAATCCGATTTTATCTCTAAGACTCCAGATAATGCAAGTATGCAACTCAAAACTATAATTGTGCCACAGTGTGCAAATGCAGTGAGCTAGTAGTAATTGTTAAGAGAAGAGCTTTGTCAGCAACAGCAAAGCATCTAGTAGCAGCCGTATTTTAATTTGTTAGATAGATAGATCGATGCATCGGTGATGACCACCCGCTGACGCAAGCAATGAGCTGTCCTAGCAACAAGAAACAGTGCACGCGACTTTTCCAAGCATTGAACTGATAATCCGATCCCCAAAAAAAAAAAAAAAACGACGCGTCCATCGGATGATTAAACTGGTTCCGTTCACGCGGTGAAAATTTTGCGGAAGGCAATGGCGAAGGAAGAAGAAATTGGAGTACTCACAGTGGAAGTTTCGGGGCGGCGGCGGAGGGGAGGAGAAGAGGATCTTGTCGAGGCTCTCGTTGGGGACGTACTCGTAGACGAGGAGCTTGTCGTCGGGGCCGTGGGCGCAGTAGCCGATGAGGTTGACGACGTTGCGGTGCTGGACGCGGGAGAGGAGGGTGGCCTCGTTGCGGAACTCGCGGGCGCCCTGGCGGGACCCGGCGCCGAGGCGCTTGACGGCGACCTCCCGGCCGTCGGCGAGGCGGCCGCGGTAGACGGGGCCGAACCCGCCCTGCCCGAGCTTCTGCCGCTCGGAGAACCCCCGCGTCGCGGCGCTCAGGGCCTCGTACCGGAACGCGCGCTGCTCCCTCGCCGCGATCGCCTCCAGGTCCGCCTCCTCCTCCTCCCGCCGCCGCCGCTCCGCGCCCCCGCCGCGGCGGGAGGACGACGAGCTGAACGGCCGTGCGATGCGCTCCAGGAGCTCGCGGGGCTTCATGCCCTGCTGCCCCCCTGCCTCCCCCGCCGTGGCTCTACTTGCTGCTGCTGCTGGCGCGGGCGCGGCGGCGGTGGTGGTGTTTGGTTGGGTTGGGGATTGGTGGGTGGGGTGGGGTTTTGGGTTGCCGTGGTCGAGGAGAAATGTTTCAGAGATGTCGCCGTCGGCGTCGGCTGGGGGGCGCGTCGCGTGGCATCACGGGCTCACGGCACTCCACGGCGAAGCGCAGCGCCGGGGAGGAGAGAAAGTCAGGGAGACTGCGCGTTGACAAAATGGGCACACCGGCGTGTATGCGGCTGGAACAGGTCGGGGGTGGAGGGGTTGAAGACGACTCGAAAGCAAATGGAAGAAGACTCCAACCCGGGAGAGCTTAGCAGGATAAAGGCTCAGTTTAGGGTGTGTTCAGTTCGCGAAAAAAAAATTTGAGTGTCACGTCAGATATTTGACCGAATGTCGAAAGGGGTTTTCGGACACGAATGGAAAAATTAATTTCATAACTCGGCCGGAGTTCGTGAGACGAAAAGTTTTGGTGTGTCACATCGGATATACGGACACACATTTAAAGTATTAAACATAGATTGATAACAAAACAAATTACAGATTCCGCCTAGAAACTGCGATACGAATTTATTAAACCTAATTAATCCGTCATTAGCAAATTTTTACTGTACCACCACATTATCAAATCATGGATCAATTAGGCTTAAAAGATTCGTCTCGCAATTTACACACAATCTATGTAATTAGTTTTTTTCTATATTTAATACTCCATGCATGTGTCCAAACTTTCGATATGACAGGGTGAAAGTTTTTTTGCATGAGAAGTAACAGGGCATAAGTTGTTTATTTTCTTTTACGGACACGTAAAAAGAATTACACGGCAATATAATAGAAGAAGAGAGCAGAGTTTGATTACATATACATAGAAGATAAGCTACTAAGAAAGAAAAAAAAACTCTTATCGCAAGGGAGGGTGGAGTAGGGGGTTCCACTACACTCCGGCATACGTCGTTTAGATATTTTTCTAAAACAAACTTGTCTAGTTTTAATCAAATTTGTAGGAACTATCAAAATAGATATTATAAATGTTGTTGTATTTTCTATAAACTTGATCAAATTTTTAAAATGTTTGATTTAAAAAAGTCAATGAGACTTATGATATGGAACGGTGGGGGCGAATTTTTTTTCTTTTTTGCAATACAATCTACTACTACATCCGTTCCGTTATAAGTCGTTTTGATTTTTTTTAAAACTTTTTTTTAGTTTGATCAAGTTAGCAACATCTACAATATTAAATTAATTTCATTAAATATAACAGTGAATATATTTTGATAGTTTGTTTGTTTTGTGTTAAAAAATTGTTATATTTTTATATAGACTTCATCAAACTTAAAAAATTTTGACTAAGAAAAAAATATTTTTAATATGAAATGGAGGGAGAGTATTTTGTATATAGTACAACTTGTACCATAGAAGATTTATTGTATTTTTATGGCATGTTCGAAGTTAGACGATACGTGTTTATTTAAAGACTATATACATATTCTTCTAATAGATTAAAAAAAATTTAACTAGAAATAAAAATAGTTTTATTACAATTCTTTCTTCACCTAATGGAGCAAAGTTTTTATTTTATAAAGGCTAAGGGTATTATTTGAGTTGTTAACTATTTGTCTCTTTTCTTCTCTCTATTCTACATCAATAGATATTCCTAATTAGCAATGCAAGGCTGAGTTTGGTTCTTCACTTTCCCAACTCATCTCTCTCGTTTTTCACACGCACGCTTTTCAAACTAATTAAACGACAAAAATTTTCTATACGAATTCATATTAATCAAATTTTCAAAAAAATAACTAATACTAAATTAATCATGCGCTAATGAGTTGCGCTGTTTTGCGTGCATGGAGTGTAAGTTCCCAACTCAAGAAACCGAACATAGCAGCTGTGTTCGGTAAAGGGGAGTTGCGAACTTTTCCTCCGAACATGCAAAACAATATAGTCCATTAGAGCAAGTATAATAATGATAAGCTATAAGGCTACTATAAGCTTAGGTGGAGAAGAGAGGTAGTGAAAAATTAAGGATGTTGGCTCTCATACAAGAACTAGCTTATCACAAGCTCCAAGACAAATGCATTAAATGTATAAGTGAGAGATAGAGAGATAAGAAGAAAATTGTAGCCAATCGTATAACTAATCTATAATATATGTTGGCTTTAAAATGAACTAATAGTAGGAAGTGAGCTCTATTATTATCATTGCTCTTAGCACGTGATTAATTTAGTATTACCTAATGTTTTTAAAAAGATTATCAATATTACTTTTAAAGTAACACATATATATATATATATATATATATACAGTTTAACCGTTTAGAAAGCGTGCGCGTAAAAAAACGAGGGATATCCCTCCAACCAAACACACCCTAACAGAAGCACTCAGCCAGCTCCTGTAAATAACCTCGCAATTACAGTTGTATGTATATTTGTACTGGTACTATCTTCAGTAGGAAATCTATGCCTTTAATTAACTCAATAAAAAAACTGAAAACGTGAATATTAATCGAAGTGACTAAAATTTATTCTCCCGGACAAATTAGTGAGATACGGAAGCATAAAACCTCTACTTTTACTATGGCGCTGCTGTACATGTACGTTGTCTAGTAAAAATGGAGAGGAGTGAAGCTCGCTGCACCTCGCATTGTCAGGCCAGGTGTTTACGCACGTAAACAACATTCACAATGGGGAAACACAAAAGGTGATCTGCCCATATCTATAGGCTCTCTACCAGAGATACATGTCAGCATATTTTTTTATTTGGAAGAGATTAAATGAAGAGAGAGAGCAAAGCTATCTACTAACCTGAAGATAGTCTATTAAGAAAAACGAGGCAATACATTATAGAGCTATAGATACCTATGTAGACATACTATTGAGGTGGTTTACTATTAATCTAATCTATTGCTAAGATGTACATGTTTTATAGAGAGCACCTTACTTTACTATAGGTGCTCTAATAATTAATCTCCGTTCAGCTTATCAGAAACTGCGACGAAATGGCGGCCGGTGGGCCGGCGGCTTTATGTTCCTGATATGATTAGGGAAAGAAAAGACGATTTCAGAAAAAAAACTGAGTCGTCAGGATTGACCCCATGTTTTCCTCTGCACAAAACACATGTGCCTGAAACTCTTCAATTCCGTGACAGCCCACAGCACGGCAACACTTAATCTGATGTCAGGTGGCTGACCTGTGGCACATAATGTTAAGAATCTGCCCTAGAATATTAAGGAACAAAGCTCTAAATGCTGGTACTACTTTATTACTACATATTAATTTCGAGTAGTAGTAGTATGTATAGGAAGTATAAACAATTTCTTTATTCTATGGCGGTAAGGCATAGTTTTTTTTTTCTCGACTCGAAAATTCAACTTTCTCTTTTTCATTTGCATACTTTTTAAAATATTAAACATTGTGTTTTTATAAAAAGTTTTTTAGAAATTGTTTAAAAGAAATCAAATAAATCTATTTTTTTTAATTTTTATGGTAATTAATATTTAATTAATCATGTCCAATAATTTGTTTCTCATTTTACGTGAGCTAAATTTATGTCTGCCAATTGAGAGAACGAAAGGAGCCTAAGATATACTCCCTTTAAAATATAGTAGAGTATCATAATTTAAAATCAAGAGTGCATCGTTAAGAGGCTAAGGAGTTGTGTAGTTCCTAAGTATACTTTATCACTATTTATAGTGTCATAGTTGGTTAAGTTGAGAAAAATCAAATTCTTCACCACATCTTAATCATCATTAGGAAATTTTGCCACACTTTTTTCGTCGTCTAGAATGTCACAACAGTGGATACAACCAAATAACTACCAAGCAATTAAATTTATCTAACCTTAAACGTGGTAAATTATGATAAAGTGTAACCGACAACCAAACACTTTATAAGCGACGCGTCTATCAATTGCATACTTGAGCCAAGGTTTCAAAGGGATTTATTAGGATTCTTTTAATAGAAATTCGGATTCGAGATACATATGCTAGCACACGTAACCATCAGCCAGTTAGGAGGGCATTTATACTACCATTAGTCAGGTTAGATTGATAAAGATGTGCCAGAATTTATTAGATAAAGCAGAAGAGATGATGCCTTAAAATAACGGGGCTTTTAACTATTTGCCATTATTACGGATGTTGTTTAATGATTTACCACTAGCCTCATATATCATAGACACATGAGGGCTCACATGTCATTGATAGGGTGTGGCAAATCGTTAATTGCCATGTCACATGAGTGACAAATAGTTAAATTTCCCTAAAATAACATCAGGGAAGACTTGGAAGTTTGACCTCACATGGATCGAGCGAGCTTGGTCGTTGGCAACTTGGCTGGATGGATGACAATTGCCATGGTCGATGCCTGATGGCTTGCTTCAGTAGCAGCCACCGGTTGCCTCGCCTACAGGTTTGGTGATTATATTGTTCAGTGCTCTCGCCATCTCTTGCCATGATGATGATGGGACACCATTTGATCAATATTCCTTGTTTAATCATGCAACCCAGAAATCTTAGACAGAAAATTTTATTTTAAGTTAATTTCATTTTGGGCCATGTTTCATTACCAACCACCTTTCTTTTATTTTTTAGCAGGCTCCTTAATATTATCCCGGTTTGTAGAACCCCCTTATCTTAACATCAACTACAGGTTGAGTTGAACTTAAGGAGGACTTACTCTTTGCGTGCAATCAGCACCTAACCAGAAGATGTGAATCATCCAAGACACATTAGTATGGCGTACTCCTCCTGCTTGAATCGGAGTTTGAAACCAAACAAACTTCTCCTCAAGAGGATAGATGGGGGCGATTCAGGTGATATCTTATGTAGATATAAGTAAAGAAAGAATGGTAGATGATAATGTGAAAGGGCGCTGCGTTTAGGCGGGTGGGCCCCGACCGGCTGGCCCGCCCCCTTTCTTTGCCCACTGGCCGCCTAGCTGTTATTCTTTGAGATTTGGATAGAGTCTTGCTTCGATCCTGCTCCTCAACATAAGGGAGTGACAGGGGAAAGGGGCCGGAAGTTTTACTTTGGACCACCCTTTGTTAAATCTTTTCACTTTGGACTAATAAATTTATCTTTGTTGCACAATAGAGTACCATAAACCACATCTTTTGCACTTCAATGACTTCGAGCAAATCGTTAACAGTGTGTCGGTGAACTTTCATATCTGTACGTATGCCATACCTTTGTTGAAGGAGACACTGACATGGTTAGCAAAGAGAGTTAGGATGATCCATTATGCAACAAACGTAAATTTACCTAATTCAAAGAAAAAAGATTAAGTATAGGGTGATCCAAAGTAAAACTTTGACAATAAAACATTGGTCCAAAGTATAATTCACTCTTTCTTTTTTCATGCATGTTTATGTTTACGGAATGGACTAATTATTTTGCTTGTCAGCACGACGTCAGAAAAGGGAACAAATGCTTTCTTCAGCCTCTCAACACTAAGGAAATGTCCTGGTTTTCACTACTCCCTCCATAAAAAAAAAACCCCTGGATTTCTATATCCAACGTTTGACCTCTTATTTAAAAAAATTATGAAAAAAATTAAAAAGATAAGCCACGCATAAAGTATTAACTATATTTTATCATCTAACAACAATGAAAATACTAATTATAAAAAAATTTTATATAAGACGGACAGTCAAATGTTGGACGCGGAAATCCAGGGTTTGTCTTTTTTTTTTTTACGTGGGGAGTAGAAATCAACAGCAGGAAAACGTCACTGAATTCTTCTGATCAGGACAGAGAGGAACGTCATATGACGTTCGGTTCAATGAACATGTTTGAGTCACTACACGTGTCTCGATCAGAGCCGTGGGATCTCCATCGGGCGGTTTATCTGCGACGAGTGTGTTTTATCCACGAAATCACGATCCATATCTTTTGGGTGGGGGCTTAAGGCGTTAAGCGTAATACTAAATTCTTAAGAGGATTCTCGTGCACAAGTTTCAGACTAATGAAGTCGATCTGGACCGTCCGATCTCGATCGGACGGCCCAGAGAGAGCCCCAAGTAACACGGGAACGACACGCGCCGTGGGGCCCACACGGCAGCGGGATGGTCGCCTTCACTGAGGCGACTCTTCTTCTCCTCCTCCTCCTCCGCTCGCGCCGCCGCCGACGAGGTCGCCGGACTCCGCCGCCGCCGCCGCACCACCGCCCGCGACATGCTCCTCCCCCCTCTGGTGGTCGGCTCGACCATGGCGTCGCTGGCGTCCCTCTCGCTCCCGGTCTCCACCGCCTCGCAGGGCCGCGCGCGCGGCGCGGGACCCGTCACGGCGGCGCCGCGGCGGCGGAGGGTGAGCGTCGTGCGGGCGAAGGTGCGGGAGATCTTCATGCCGGCGCTGAGCTCGACGATGACGGAGGGGAGGATCGTCTCCTGGACGGCGGCGGAGGGGGACCGCGTCGCCAAGGGGGACCCCGTGGTGGTGGTGGAGTCCGACAAGGCGGACATGGACGTGGAGACCTTCTACGACGGGATCGTCGCCGTCGTCCTCGTCCCGGCCGGTGAGTCCGCCCCCGTCGGCGCCCCCATCGCCCTCCTGGCGGAGTCCGAGGAGGAGGTCGCCGTCGCGCAGGCGCGTGCACAGGCTCTCCCGAGAGGCCCGGGCCAAGAACCCCCTCCTCCCCACGTTCCCAAGGCTGCGCCGCCGCCGCCGCCGCCACCACCACCACATGCCCCTCCTGGACCGCCGCCGACGAAGGGCGTCGCCACGCCGCACGCCAAGAAGCTAGCGAAGCAGCACAGGGTGGACATCTCCATGGTCGTCGGCACCGGGCCACACGGCCGCGTCACCGGAGCCGACGTCGAGGCGGCCGCTGGCATCAAGCCAAAGCTAAAGGGCCCAAAGGGCGCTCCACCTCCGCCTCCGCCTCCACCTCCATCGCCACACAGACACCCCGCTGCTCACCCTCCGCCTCCGCCTCACCACCCCGCTCCTCGCCCTCCGCCGCCGATGGCGGCGGCACCCCGGCAACCAGCAGCGCTGCCACCGGTGCCTGGCGCGACGGTGGTGCCGTTCACGACGATGCAAGCCGCGGTGAGCAGGAACATGATGGAGAGCCTGTCAGTGCCAACATTCAGAGTCGGCTACGCCGTGTGCACTGACAAGCTCGACGCACTATGCGAGAAGGTGTCATTTCTATGAATCCCCTGCAAAATTGGTGAAATTCATAGCTGCTAGAGTTACAGTTTAGTTATAGTTTGACTGAAATGAATTGAGTAGGTTAAATCGAAAGGGGTCACAAAGACATTGTTGCTGGTGAAGGCCGCGGCCATGGCGCTCACGCAGCACCCGGTTGTGAATGCCAGCTGCAGGGATGGGAAGAGCTTCAGTTACAACAGTAGTATCAACATTGCTGTGGCTGTCGCGATCGAGGGCGGCCTTCTTACGCCTGTCTTGGAGGATGTTGATAAGGTACATGCTTATTGCGGTAGCTGCGTTCTGTTAAGAAATGTAGCATTGTTGCGAATTAGCGTCTAGTGAATGATCTAACATTTTCTGAAAAAAACTAACATTGCAGTTGGATGTATACCTTCTTGCACAAAAGTGGAGAGGCCTGCTCAAGAAGGCACGCATGAAGCAGCTCCAACCAGACGAATACAGTTCAGGTACAGAATATGTTGTATTGTGATTGGCACTTGGTTTTTTATGGAAACCACGCTTACCTGAAGTTTGATGATTTGTAGGGACTTTTACGCTGTCTAATTTGGGTATGTTTGGTGTGGATAGATTCGATGCAATCCTTCCACCTGGTCAGGTAGGTTTTTTCATTGACTGCCCAGTCAGTATGAAATTTTGACAGAATTGTATTTGAGCAATATGAGAACTAAGAACAACTGTTTGTCGATGGCTCGCTCAATGCAGGGGGCTATTATGGCTGTTGGAGGATCGAGACCTACTTTGGTGGCCAACAAAGATGGTTTCTTTAGCATCAAGAACGAAATGCTGGTTAGTTTGTTTTTCACACTTTACGGCCTGTATGCCTCAAAGCTCTGCTCATGCTCAGTGACTGACCATTGATAGTAATTTGGCATATGCAATTATGCATTCAACTCTAAAAATCAATGAGTAAGATTTCCTTGCAAATATGGAACTAAGTATATTTTGTCATCTTGTAATTGGATCGGCAAGTGGAATAATTTATATGCACCTGATTGAACGTAATAAGTGCATAGTGTAGACCTGTTATTTTCAGCTTCATGCTTGTGTCATTATTGTTAAAACCTAGAGGTGCCAACTGGATGTTTGGCTTCTCTGAGTTGGTTCCTGTAATGAGTTCATACCAGTCTGTTGTTCTTTCAGTCAATCACTGACTTAGTTTAGTTTAAAAAAAGTTTTTTGTGACTTATATCTATACTTATTATCTATCGATTCTGTGTGGACAGTTCCCAGCAGCGTGTCACAGCACATCTTACCTTTCAACATTTCACTGGTTGCAATAAATTTTTCTTTCAGAGATACTTCTCTGAAGCTTCTGAACTATGTTTCTCCCAACCTTTTCAGGTCAATGTTACTGCTGACCACAGGATTATATATGGTGCTGATTTGGCAGCATTCCTGCAGACATTTGCGAAGATCATTGAGGATCCTGAGAGCCTAACATTGTAGGGAAAATGTCCCTCACAAGTGCTCCCTAAGTATCTGCAGTTTGTTTGATTCGAATTGGAAGAATAATTCCACCGAGCATTTGTAGCCATTAATTGTAAATAGTTTTGTTATTGTTTTAATGTTATTGCCATATGATCAATATTTTTTCTTATACCCGCCACGGAATAAGTGAAATGCTCATTTCCAGTTTCCATACATTTTTTTTACTTGAAGATAGATACTCTGAGTCCCTAATTCTCCCAGGTAATGAGTAATTGAAAACTACTTATCTCGCAACAGGTTCTCGCATACAGGTAAGTTTCCAGAATCTCACCAATTGCCAAGGAATTTTGATTACTTTGTGAAGCAAGTATCACATGTTTGGTACTAATAGATTTTGCACAAGAAAAATCTGATTATATTCCTTTCTTTTTCATCTCTATGTGCTATGCTCATATTAGCATTGGTCCTGGCTGCCTGATTCTTGATGAGTGTACTAGTAGTACTATTGAAATGGAGGCCTTGATTTTCATGGACAATACATCACAGTTTGTGAACATGTTGAAATGCAAAATATTACATGGCTCCTAAAAAGTCAATTTTGTCCTGTCCAAACTTCAAAATGAGAAAATTAAATCTGTTTTCCATTTGCTAAATTTCACATTTAGCATTCATACCTTGGGAAGTTTTATCTAACACCCAAGCAAAACAAGCCTACACATCACTCCTGACTCCAAAAGAAAGGCATAATCGATATTACCGATTAAGCTCTGGTAAATCATTTGATGATAAACGCTAACACAACGTTGTCAAAAGAAGAAGAAACTCAAAATTATTATTATTTTTGGGTTAGCTGGAAGAAAATTTCAGAACCTAACACAAACTGTGTCTGTATGAGTACATGGACAGTTCAGGCAAAGGCCTCAGCTCTAAGCCGCGTGGCCGCCGCCGCCGCCGCCGCCCTCGTCGCCGGCGGGCGGCGGCGGCGGCGCGGCCTCCCTGACCTCGAGGATCTCGACGCGGCGGTTGGTCCGCTTCCTGATCTTGATCGCCACGTCCTGCGGGCTGAAGGCCCCGAACACGCTCACCCTGCCGTGCTTCCTGTCGATCAGGTGGCTCTCCAGCTCTGCAAACCAAGCAAGCGCACACACAGCAGCAGCAGCATCAGTCACCGGCGTCGCCATGGCAGAAAAAAAAACAAAAGCTTCGTTTCACCGGCCGGCGTCGCCATGGCCAGCCAGACCGGCTACCTTCCTACTCCCTCCGTTTTTGTAAAATATGTAAAACTATATGTATACATAAAAACATATTTAACAATGAATCAAATGATAGAAAAAGAAATTAATAATTACTTAAATTTTTTTAATAAGATGGATAGCCAGATATGTTTAAAATGGCGTTGAATATTTAGGGACGGAGCGATACCTTGCATCTGGAGCAGCGCCCTCCTGATCTTGTGGTAGCACCCGTTGCAGTCGATGTTCATCCTGAGCGTCATGTAGTAGAGCTGCAACACAGCAACCAAGCACAGTGATTGAGCATCATATGATCATCATCCCATTGCTACTTCTCTCAAGCTTCGACACACTCATGGCCATGGCTGTTACCCTGTAGTCCATGGAGAAGGAGCTCTTCCTCGGCGACGGCGAAGACGACGATGACGAAACTGAACTATGGTTCAGACTACTACTACTTCTTCAGAGTTCAGAGCTTCAGAAAAGGTAGTGGAAAAAAAGCATGGAGTTGGCCGGATTCTTGCTCTGCTTTGGTTAGTGCTTAAGCAAGCGTGCCTCTTTAATCCCCTTTTTATGGCTGCTCAGTGACTCGGTTCATTCCATTCCTTTTGTGTGGGATCGATGCGTGTCTTCAGAATCGGATTCTGTGGCAGCCTGGCTTCCATGCACAGCCCCTTTTAGCTGCTTCTCATCTCACCTTTTCTCATGAGCTCTCCGTTTCATTTCTCTGTATCTTCAGCCTGAAGTCTGAACCCATGGATTCAGTAAAAGAACTTGACAGTGAGATGCAGATATGTTTCTCCATCGACTTTGAGACTTTGTTTTTTTAGAAAGTGCAGACTTTTACGATGTATGTAACAATTTGCTGGCTCCTCTTTTTTATTTTTTTTTCAGGATTTGGTTCGTGATGGATGTTCCATCTGGGGTTTGAGACTTGAATGCAAGAAAGTGATAAGTTGGACAGGTGGTACGATTTTCAACGTTTCAAGAAAACATTGGCATTTGAAAAGAATAAAAAAAATGATGTACTTCATGGATAGATTTGTCATCAGCATACCTGTAAAAAAGGTGCGTTTTTTTTCGTAGCTAGATGCAAAATATATTTCATCATGTCCTAGCTTCTTTCTTGACAGTATTAGCAGTTCAACAATAACAGCAACTATAAAGTTGCAATTAATCAGATGAACTCACTTTAACCCTGCCAGTTTTACCAAGGGAGCATGATCATTGATCAGATTCTTCAGTCCTGTACTGGTAAAATTCTGCTTCAGCTGAACCAAAAGCCTCTTCGCAACTTCCTTTGCTTCTTTTTTCATTTACTGCTCTAGAAACAAATTTGCTGGCTTGTGACATTAACTTCACAAGTATCAATTCAGGGGTAAAAGACTGCAAACTCCATTTCATTTCAAATTGGATAAGATGACAAGGGGATGATAAAAATGGTCTAAACTACAACCAAGACATTCACGAAAGATATTTGAAGTTTTTTATGGAGCTGATATAACCAAATGGACTGCATTACACACAAGACTGTGACATCAGAAGTCCAAGACTCAGTTCAGGTGGTTGACATAATAACCTAGGAGATGAACCAAAGTCACACCAAAGATGCATAATTCATAAAAAAAAAAAAGGAGAAGATGCATAGTTCAGAAAGAAAAAGAGAAGATATATCATCCTTGATAATTCATATCCTGCAAGTTCTTTCAACTGATGAACAGCTAGCTGGGCAATGATTCTCCACTGATCGTGCATACTTCAAGGAGCAGTGGTAGCATTAGCCATGGATACATCAAGGAGCAGAGCCCCTGAGGAGATCCTGGTGAATTCAGTGCATAGCTGGTATTGCAGAGTTTGAACCACCTTTGTTTGTTTGAAGGCCTTCCATTTGCCTCATTACTTCTTCTCTTGTAGGAACTTCTTGTGCAGTAATGACTTATTCTGAGATCTTCCCGGTGAGCAAAAGCCTTCCATTTGCTATCGATCCACTCGAGTGAATGCCTCAGTTGATCCCTATGGAATAACACCATCTTCTTCTCCCCTGCAAATTCAGACAATGGAAAGAACTCCGTTGACATGGCAACAAGCTAAAGACAAGCAAGAATTTGCATCATGGACTGTTAAATTTGAATCCACTAAGGAGGTAATCAACTGACAATTCACCTGGTAAGTAAGCTAGCAGCCTCCTTGCATCACTCACCTTCAGCAAAATTCCCTCCCACCAACCATCATACAACCATCCGTCAATGACAGTGCCAACACCGATCGTAGAGGGGTTCTCCCTCTCCGACATATTGTGGGGACGAATTCTTGTTCTTCCAGAGAGGCGTATGCACAGAGGGTCAGGATTAGCGGTTCTTGTCACAAGCAACCATTCCTGCAGGAGAACAACCAGTTCGTGTCAGCCTTCTCAACTCAAAGTGAGCTTCATGGACATGAGCGGGAGCTTGCCATCTGGTTACTATAAAAGAAAGAATTTTATTTTACTATATAACTCTAAGTTACTACTTTAGTTCTACCATATTATCAACAGTAGAAGTTACTATTGTATCTCTAACGATAGTGCTCTACTATCAATATTATCAACCGTACAAGTCATCTGAGCTGTTAATTTATGACTTCTACTATCAGTAGAGGAAAATATTCTACTATAGTAGTATAAATCGATATGGTCCAATTAATAAGAAAGAACAAAAGGTGTAGATTCATTCTACTACCCATAGAGGCCACCGTAAAATTTGTCAAGAACGAACTGCATTTTCAGAAGTGGTACTGAAATTAGGCGACATACCTCTAGGTTTGCTCTTGGTGTTTCAGGATCTTGGAGGTGTTGGTACCTCACCTTGATGCGATCTCCGCGCCTCCTGATCACTGAACCAATGAACCAACATCCCCTAATGCCACTTTCCTGGCTCAGGCATTCAACAAGGCAACCAGGAGAGAAGTACTACTCGAGATACTGCTCCAGGGCAGAGTTCATCAGAGCAGATGCAGGCTCTGTTGGTGCAGCATTGCGTGCAGTGACATTGATTGTTGCGGCCTGAACATGGTCTCATCACCTGCAGTGGGGTTCTCCACAGTTTGATGATGATGATGACCTCTATCTGATGATCTTGTGTGTTCTTGTTGCCTTCGGATGCGTCGGGTTGCATGTTCACGGGAGGTGTTCCTAAGATTGTTCTAAATATCTCCTGTTCTGAATACCCTTGCAACTGTGCAATGTCAAAGGTCTTGACATTGCTATCATCGTCGATATGCCGAATGCATAGGTAGGGCTGCCAGTCGATGTTGTTGGCAATTGCTTGAAACTTCTCAAAGTGTTATTTGTTCAGGACTCAAGCCAATCCGTCTATGCATTCAACTCTGATGTCTTGCAAATTGTCGGAGAGGAGGATCTCTCTATCATTAACACCTGGAGAAAGCTGAATACCAGAGGAGTTGAGTGTGTGAAACCATCGTATCTGAACCATGTTGTTTGCATGGTTATCCTTGTAGAGTTCTTCCACATAAGCAACAAGTTTGTTGCCATGTTGGACCAAGATGTAAACAAAATCGTGAACCTAAAAAGTGTCATGAACACAATTGGTGTAAGCCTAAGATTCAGTCCTCTAAGATTTTTTTTAAAAATGCGCTGATGATTGATAAGCGTACCATGAATGTAAATCCCCTTCGCCAGAAGGATTTGTAGCTCTTCCCTTTTTTTGGAATGCGATTCAGGACCTAACCATTTGAAGCCACTTGAATCATTTCCAGCAGCCGATGATGAAGAGTCCTGAATGAATAAAATGAAATTTCCTTATTAACTTCAATATATAGTGCTTTATCGGAAGCATTTCTCATGAAAAATAAAAATGATCAGAAATTAGCTTAATGTACCTTTGTTGTGGAGATATTAGCAAGCTTAGCATTTTCACCATCATTGTTACAAATTGCAACTTCATCAGATGTAACATCTATCATGGATGATACACTATTAGGACTGGCAAAAACCGAAAAAACAAATATATGCATGCCAATTTTCACAGTGGTGATTAGCTGACGAGTCCAAAGATTAGTGCAGATCGTAAAAATTGTAAATATTAATATACGATGAACAAAAAGAAAATCAAACTGAACATGTCCTAAAACAGATGCTAATATGGGGTAACAAGGAACATTATCTCATTGAGGTATTGACTGCACAATGATGAGGCCCATTCATTTTGCTAATGAAACAAAAGGAAGAAAGAATAGAAGAAGGCATATATGTCCATGTCGCTAATGCTAGAAAAGTGCATATCTCTTGATTAATTCAATTCACAGCTTTGTTCAAGAGTTGGGAAATTAGAATAAAAAAGATATTTGACTTGTTAAAGAACAAAACTTTACAACCATTTAAGTGAAGTTCTATGACTCATTGGGTTTAATAACCATGATAAGTCTGAAATACACATACAGATCTGACAAGTCTTCATCTAAATTGCAATAGCTTAAATCAAGCCAACCCAGAGAAGTATATGCAAGGTCAAGTCCATACTAATAGCAAATGGAAACAATATACTAAAAAGAAGGTAAGTTTTTAGATCATTGAACTCTATATGCATATCTCTGCTATGTATAGGAAAATTTTGCTCACTAATATATACTACAAGCACGTGCACATTACAAAGATATCATCCATTGTGTGACTGGCAAATGGAGACAAGGCCCTATAGCGGTGTACTAGTACATAGGGGTTAGGACCCACAAGTTAGCAGCTCAAATATGTTTATAGATAAATTGACAACGGGAAAGGCATCAAAGGAAATGTCTACCGAAGTAAGACCCTTCTTAGGCTGCGTTCTTTTCAGGCTATTACTCCTCGTTTTCCGTTAGCACGCTTTTCAAACTACTAAACGGTGCATTTTTTTGTAAAAAGTTTCTATACGAAAGTTACTTAAAAAAATCATATTAGTCCATTTTTTTAAAAAAAATAGCAGATACTTAATTAATCATGTGCTAATGGATCGCTCCGTTTTCCGTGAGCACTGTTGGGGGTGGGAAAGAACGCAGCCTTAGATACAATAAGAAACATATTAACTGTCAAAAAGTATTTCCTTAAATTAATTCATATGGAGATCCCTTTTTTAAGGAATTTCTAGCTCGTTAGGTAGATCCACAATTCAATGGTAATTTGCTAAAAGTAGTGGTGGTGTAATAAAGCACCTTTTTAGCTCTTTTTCCTGTGTATGCAAATGAATCTCTAGAGACACAGAATAATCCATATTTAAGTTGGCCCTTACATTTTGCTTAATACTATCCATAGCCACTAAAAGCTCAAATGGGTTTAACATATCATCTTTTCATAAACAAAACAAGAGCGTAATCAAAGTAACAAACAAATACCAATAAATTAAGCACGTTAAACCAATAAAATCTCACATCCCTCACTGTAAATCTACGTAGGTTATAAAAAAAAAATCATTTTTCCCTGTACGAAGGCATGAAATTGCAGCGCATTGGATAATAAGATGAAATGTGTTTAGAAGCCCTTACATCTCCTTGTTGCTAGTACGGAGGTGTTCGCTTCAACCACCACATCTGAGCGAGCCCCTCTACCCCCACGCCCATGGTTGCGCTCTTTCCCATTCCTAGCCCCTCGGCCCACATACATTCATCATCGTACTTGCTATAGTAGAGGAAGAGAAGATTAGTGACCACCTTATGCTCGAGATAATGAAAAAAAGTTCAAGTGAGGGATTAAGCTTATAGTGGTAGGCTACAAATATTTATTTGAAATTTGAAAAATACTCTAGACAACGTTGGAAATTCTCACAGCCAGGCAATACAATGTTTGGGCTATGGGTTGTAGGGGTTCTTTTTTTTTGAAAGGAAAACTACCAGGCATTTGCCCAGTAGTGTATTTTATAAAAAAGGAGAAAAAGTATTTACAGCAAAAAAGAAAAATTACAAAAGGCTACAGCCTCCCTAAAGAACTATAAAGTTTGTAACCAATCAGAGACCGATTGCCTAAGTGGATCATTCATTCTACACATATGTAGAAGAATCTATCAAAAGAAGGATCCATATTCTGAAAAATCTTCCTATTTCGTTGTTCCCAAATGTGACAGCACGCAATAAAGCAAATTTCCAAAAAGCCCTTCCTCCTGAACCTCAATCTTGCCAGCACCAACATCTGAAAGAATTCCAAAGAGGTGTTCCATGATATTCCAAGCTTATGCCAACACTTTCTACTAAATGGACACTAGAAAAACAGATGAAACGGAGTTTCTCTTTGCTGCAACGAACAAAGAACGCAAGTGAGATCAAAGGAGCACAATTCCTTCTATCCAATATATCTCTCGTGTTTAGTCTGCCACAAAAAAGCAGCCATATGAAGACTTTAATCTTGTAGGGGTTCTTATAGGAGGGGAATGAATATTTTTTTTGCATAGAGGACCCTAGAGTTTGCTGTAATTGCACAATTAGGTTTCTTTATGTGGGTTGTGAAATGGCAGCTTCACCATGTAGTTTTGAGGAATTATGCTCTAAGGGTTCCTCATGTGGGATGTTGGGGCTGCTTTGATCAGCCTCAAGAAATTTGCCAATACAATTTCACATGCATAGTAAATATCATTTTGTTTGGGCCATAACTTGGGTCAAGTTTCAAAAATTCAAATTGTACTCCCTATATAAATGTATGACAAAGTAAGGGAAAGTTCTACGCAAGGAGAATAATCACCCCAAATAATCACCCGAGTTTTGTCATACCTAAAATTTTGTTCAGTTACTATGTGGGATAGTTACTAATAAAAATAATTCTATTTTTATGGCTTTCAATTAACCACAATTACTCTTTCCCATGGAAGCCAATGGCCAGTTGTTGGTGAAAATGTTTTGTCTCGTGAAAGTGTATAAAAAGAAGTGTAAATTTCATTGAATCTCATGATTAGAGATAGTCAAGTTTATTTTCATTGCGATGGAACTGGGAATTGATCCCATGAGTTTGATCCATTAGGCATATTTTAGCACAAGTAGGGGTGGGCAGAAATTTCTCGAAAACCGACCACCGAACTGAACCGAACCAAACTGAAGTGTTGGTTTTTTTCAGTGTTCAGCTGGTGGCGCGGTTTTCGTTTTAATACAGTTTAGTGGTTGGTAGTTTCTTTGGCCTCCGCCTACTGTCAACCAATCTCACCAAAGAAACCGAAGTAAATTGAAGTCCACATGCACAGGATTGGTTTCTGAGGCTCTGAGTGAATCTGCCTCATTGTTTCACGTAATTTTGCTTTATCTTGTGGGCGTGGGTGGTGGAGCCCACGACCTTTGGGCCCATGGCTAGCTTTGCATGATGGGAGGATGGGAGATCGAGGCATACATTTAGTCGGTAAAAACTGAACCCCGAAAAATCCAAACCAATTTTGTTTGGTCTTTTTTTTTCTCGGTTTTTGTTTTATTCGTACGCTCTTCGGTTGTCATTCTACAGAAACCGATCTTTTAGGGAGCCATCAAACCGAGGCGATTAAACCGGAAAAACCGAATACCCACCTCTAATCGTAAGTTCTAGCCAAACACTTGAATTTGATAAAAGTGTACAACATGCAAATGACTATTATTTTATTATGACCCTTTTTGCACAACTTCAGAACCAAGGTTTCTTGGAGTTGGGTATCCGTAGCTCGACAAATCCATAGACTTGGATCTGCGATTACATTGACAAGATTTGGATGATTCATTTTGTTCCTGTTTTAGATTAAATATAATTTTTTAAACACTATAATTTAGCATACTCTTCAAACCCAACATGGAGTTGTGCCAAATAGAGCCTACATATATTGCTAGTGAATTATTAACATATATCACCATATTGAATATCAAACAACAACAACAAAAGACAACAAGAGATGAATCATAAAAAGAAAATACATTGTTTCCTCCGACGGTTAACCACTCCATGGGGATGGTGGTGAGCGCAGGCACAATGATTGGAGCAAGATCTGCAAGAGTTAATTTAGGTGGTTAATCAGTGGATGTATTCTAAGAGGAACTACCTCTGAAATTTGCTAGAATTCCCGATCATCTATTTCCAAGAATAAATCAGGGTTACACTTACTCGAATCGAGGCAAGGCCCTCTTGCCTCCTTGCATAGTTGTGATGCCTTTTCGCCATCGTTTCCCATCTAGAATATTTTTGGGAATTACAAGGCTCTCTTGCCTTCCACTATAACAATTGTACTGGAACTTTTTTGGGTGAAGAGTTCTTTCCGTAGCAAGTGACTATGTATAATCGTAGCCCATAGGCATTCGACCCTTGAGTCATTCCCGGCACGGTGGGCTACTGGCTCCTTGTTTTGTTGCGAACTGTGTCTACAGCACACTCCATCAGGCGTCACGTGTATTTACTTGCTGGTATGATTACTATAATAAAAACATTATGTAGAGGCACTTTTGTAGAGGCGATTTTTAAATTGCCTCTAAAATTTGGACCTCTATAGTCTAGAGACACTTTCTAAATCGTGTAAAATACTTTTACTATAGAGACATTTTAGAGACACTTTTAGCACATTTTTTAAGTTTATCTTGTAGAGACACTTTTAGCACATTTTATTAAGTTTGTCTTGTAGAGACATTTTCTCGACATTTTGAAATTTGCCTCATCTATAAAGGCATTTTCTTGGGGCATTTAAACCTCTGTAGAGACACTTTTCTGAATATTAATACATACTAAGTAACTAGATGTAAACAACACAAAGCATATATGAGGTCGAGATGATTAGCATATTGAAGATAAAAGAATATCAGCCCAAGAGGTCATGAGTTCAAGGATTGGTAAGGGATAATAATTCTTCTCTTTGTTCACAATGATTTGCTATAGTTGCCACATAATTCAATGTCTCTACAAACTGCCTCTATGCCTCTACAATATTAGGAAAATGTCTCTACAAGACATATTTGTTGTAGCAAGAAGCTTATCTTTTGGATTGGAATTTATCATAGACATAATTTGTTTTCTTTATATATACTCAATTGATTAATGAAGCCTTTGGTTTTATTCAGATTTTAGCAAATGTTGAGCGCCTTTCATAAAGTAATTGGAACCCCATGAAGTTTATATGTTTCATGAAACTGTTCAATTATATACTTAATTGTTGTTAAAGCATTCATCCCTTAAAAGATCATCATTTAGGGACAATGTAAGCAAATAATAACCAAATCGTACAAACATGTGTGAAGATGTTAACTCGAATCCAAACATTCCATGAATAAACTTAATATTGATTTTGTCTGATTGTATCATACCTTAGCATCGTACCATATCTTAACATTAATTATGCCTCGATTATTTTTTGTATTAAGTCATAATCAATAAAAAGTTTGGGTAATTTGATTCTAAATATTTTGGCAATAGAATTATTGAATGGGGTCACATAGAACTTATATTCCATTAGACAAAATGAGAGGTGTAGTTAGAAAAGTAAGAGTACTTCATAAAAGAATATGTAGAAATATTGAAGGGCAAGAATGAAAAAAATTGATGGCATTAATACTAGCATAAGAAAAATCCAAAATTAAAAGTGAAATGCCTAGGGAGGTCACCTGAAATTTGGTATTCATTTATTATGTGGCTACATTTGGACGAGGGTGGTGGTCCATGGTTGAATTTACATGTACAATGCATGATATTTGTTTCTATCTTAAGCTTTCTTATCTCTTCATTTATTCTTAGGGATAGAATGAGTTGGAGGTGGAGTTGATGATGTGGAAGGATAAAGAATTGAGTCATGCATGGATAAATGCATATGACACCTACTTTGTTCTTGTCCTCTTTAATTATGTGATAGAATATGGTGGTACAGATCAAACATATGACGTGGAAAATTAAATGGTGCCGCCATAAAAATACAAATGTACAACAAACGATAGTTGTTTACTTTCCTTTTGAGCAACTTATCATTCACTCTAAGGGATGGAATACGACGGAATCACATAAAGCATATGATGTGGAAGGCCAAACTAAAAGAATTATCCATGCAAATGCCACAACATAATCAATTTTCTATGTTATCTTTCACTCTTTTTATACCAGGATTTTTATCATTTCTCTTCAGCTGTTCAAAGCAATATAGGTGCTGAATTATCCTAGATGATAAAACTAGCACTGCTGTAGTGATAACGTAGTAATGATTATCATTTAGATAAAAATGCAGAAGTCCAGATGTAGGTGATATATGTGGTTCTTGCTATATTTTCTTAAAATATGTGTTATAGTAGGCATATAGTGGTAGAGAAACAAACGGAATTTGTACACTAGCACTTTTATGTTCTCTCTTTTCTGTGGAAAGTGAAAGTTTACTCTCTTTTTAAAAGATATTGAGTATATAACGTAAAGTTCTAGAATTTTCAGATGCATGGATGCTACCATGTGTCATATGTACTAAAACAAGAAAATCACTATAAAATGTAAGAGAATAATCTATATGTATTCTCTATTTTTTTCATCCTTTCTGTTTTTTACATTAATATATGTTTCACTATGTACAGCTCTTTTTTTTTTGGTGTATTGTAGGTATGGTTTGATTATGCAATGATGTTTGCTTCTTTTTTTTTTGGAACAAGTGCTTTTCATGCATGATACACTTTTATTTTTTGTATTGAATGATATTCTTTTCTTGGTACCATTATTTTTGTGCATACATGTTTCTATCTCTATTAACCCCCTTCTTGATGTCATCAAGGTGGAAAAGGGGAGCGCTTGACTTGTACAGCTAACAGGAGATGAGCACAAGGGCATCATGGCCCAGTGCACCCATGTTTGTATTTTTTTTTTATGTTTTCTCATATTTACTCCTTACTAAAAAGAGATATTGATATTTAAAATTTCTATAGATTTAAGCATATCTCACAATAGATGTAATAGATATGTAGTAGATACATGTAATAAATGATTTCTTTATTGTATATGCATGTGTTGTTCTTCACAAGTCAAAACATGGACCATGGAGTATGCATACATATGTATGCTAGGTGATCTCACCGCGTACATGCATACTAAGTGATGCCACTTTGTGAGTGATAAGACATACGTACATACAAGCTATGCTAGAGCATTTCGGCTTTTCCTGCCTCCACATGCTAATGGTGCAGAGAAAAACAATAGCTTTTCATAATTCAGTTCATGATGTTCCATCTGGGGTTTGAGACTTGGATGCAAGAAATTGATAAGTTGGACAGGTGGTAAGATTTTCAACGTTTCAAGAAGTTTGATAAGAATAAAGAATGGATGTACTTCATGGATAGATATGTCATTAGTATAATGTAGAAAATGTGCACCTTTTATAGCTATATGGAAATGTATTTGATCATTCCACAGCTTCTTTCTTCACGGTATCAGCAATTCAAGAATAATAATCAAGTATAAAGTTGCAATTAACCAGATAAACTCATTTTAACCCTGACAGTTTTACCAGGGAGCATGATCATTGTCCAGACTCTTCTGTCTTGTGACGGCAAAATTCTGTATCAATTGAATCACCAGGACCGCAAAGAATCTTGGGTTAATTTGATCCATCCCATTGCAAATGTGGCTATTCAGAAAAATGCCATTACAATTCGTCTATTCGTAACCGTGCCACTCCAATTTTACGAAATTAGAACCATGCCACTGCCTCACCTTTTCCATCCATCCTCTTCCTTTCCATCTTCTTCCTTCCTTCTCCATCTTCTAGCACCGACGTGCGGAGGGAGAGGACGGCGGTGACGGCGCCGGCGCGCGAAGGGAGGGGGTGGCGTCCATGCTAACACGAGGAGGGATGGGACGACGCGTGGAAGGAGTAGGGGCGTCGAGGGAGCCGGGAGGCAGCGCTGACTCAGCGCGCAGAAGGAGCCGTGGCGCGGGGAGATGGGGCGCCGGCGCCGGCTCCGACGCTCAGAGAAAGGATGGGGCAGCAGCCGTCACAGCAGCTGCTAGGTTCCGCTGCTCCCGCTGCCGCTCCCCACGCGTGCCGGAGTGTCGCCGGCCATTGCCGCGACCGCGGGGTTCCGCTGCTGCTGCTTAGTCGTCGCCGCTACTGAGTTCCACTTCTGCTCGGCCATCGCCGCCACCGAGTTCCACTGCTGGGCCAGCCCATCCGCCGCCACTCTCCAGCGATAGCGCCGCCTCCCAGAGCCAAGTCGGCAAGCTTGGAGGAGAGGGAGCCAAGCTGGCGCCGCCATCCCCTCCCTCCTTTCTCTGAGCACCGGAGCCAGCACCGCCGCCCCATCCCTCCGTGCCCCGGCTCCTTTTGCGTGCCGAGTCAGCGCCGATGCCCGGCTCCCTCGGCACCCCTTCTCCTTCCATGTGCCGGAGCCCGCGCCGTCCCTCCCTCCGCATGTCAGCGCGGGCGTCGCCACCGCCGTCGTTTGCACCGCCATAGCTGAAGCCACCGCACTGTATCCTCCCTTCTCGCGCTGGCACCTGGTGGCGGCGACGGCCGAGCAGCAGCAGCAGAACCCCACGGTTGCGACGACGGCCGGCGGCACTCCGGCGCGCGTGGGGAGCAGCAGCGGTACCTGGCAGCTGCCGCGACGACCACTTGGCTCCGGGAGACAGCCCTGTCGCCAGAGAGCGGCGGCCGACGGGATGGCCCAGGACGCCGATGCCGTGAAGAAGATGGAGAAGGAAGGAAGAAGACGGAAAGGAAGCGGATGGATGGAAAAGGTGACGGCAGTGGCATGGTTCTAATTTTATAAAATTGGAGTGGCATGGTTACGAATAGACGATAATGGTATTTTTCTGAATAGCCACATTTGCAGTGGCATGGACCAAATTAACCAAAGAATCTTCGCTACTTTCTCAGCTTTTTTTTTTCATTTGTTGCGCCAAAAACAAATTTTGCCGACAAGTGACATTAACTTCAGAAGTAGCAATTCAGGGGTAAAATTAAGACTACAAACTCTATTTCATTTCAAATTGGATGAGATGACAAGGGGATGATAAAAATGGTCTAAACTACACTCATGATATTAATAAAAGATATTTGAAGTTTTTTATGGAGCTAATATAACCAAATGGATTGCGTCACACACAGGACTTTGACATCAGAAGTCCAAAACTCAGTTCAGGTGGTTGACATAATAACCTAGAAAATGAACCAAAGTCACACCAAAGAACATAATTCATAAAGAAAAATAGAAGGTGGATAGTTCATCAAGAAAAAGAGAATATGCATCATCCTTCATAATTCATATCCTGCAAGTTCTTTCATCTGATGAACAGCTAGCTCGGCAATGGCTCTCCATTGATCTTGCATACTACTTCATCATCAGGCAATTAATTCTCCAGGATCTCCTCAGGGGCTCTGTTCCTTGATGTATCCATGGCTGATGCTACCAACGATCCCATCCGACTACATTCTTGGACCAAAAGATCCTCTAGCCTTACGCTCGGTCCATTTTAGACTGTCCGACTTTAGGACATTTTCAAGATTAACTTGCGATCCCTTGTTATCAGTTCTAATTTCTTCAGAGGCAGGAACACCGACATGCTTGAAGTTTAAAGATCCTAGATCATTTGTTGCATGCCTAATGAGATCAGGTGTGGTTTTCTTAGTAGCAGAGCTGCTACTTCCCTTCTCTGCAGCTGGTTTTGCAGAGTTTGAACCACCTTTGTTTGTTTTCAGGCCTTCCAATTGCTTCATTACTTCTTCTCTTGTAAGAACTTCTCGTGCAGTAATGACTCTTATTCTAAGATCTTCCGCACTAGGGATTCGACGTGCGATATCTTCCCGGTGAGCAAAATTCTTCCACTCGTTATCAATCCACTCGAGTGAATGCCTCAGTTGATCCTTGCGGAATAGCACCATCTTCTTCTCCCCTGCAAATTCAGACGAGGGAAAGAACTCCGTTGACATGGCAACAAGCTAAACACAAGCAAGAATTTGCATCATGGACTGTTAAATTTGAATCCACTAAGAAGGTAATCAACTGACAATTCACCTGGTAAGTAAGCTAGCAGCCTCCTTGCATCGTTCACCTTCAGCACAATTCCCTCCCACCAACCATCATACAACCATCCGTCAATGACGGTGCCAACACTGATCGTAGAGGGGTTCTCCCTCTCCGACATATTGTGGGGACGAATTCTTGTTCTTCCAGAGAGGCGTATGCGTAGCGTGTCAGGATTAGCGGTTCTTGTCACAAGCAACCATTCCTGCAGGAGAACAATCAATTCGTGTCAGCCTTCTCAACTCAAGGTAGGGGTGCAAGTGGGTCACCCGTGAACCCACTTATAGGTCAAAATAAGCGAGTTCACGGATTAGTTTAGCTTATAAGTGGGTTTTCGCGGGTAGCCGCTTGCACCCTTAACTCAAGGTGAGCTTCATGGACATGAGTGGGAGCTTGCCATCTGGTTACTATAAAAGAAAGAATTTTATTTTATATATAGCTCTACTGGTAGTAATCTACTAGAAGTTACTACATTATCTCTAGAGATAATCCCTTATATGCCACTGAAAATTGGTCTGATCCTTTATATGCCACTGAAAATTGGCTCTTCCCTTATATGCCATTGGTTCAAATTTGCACACCCTCTCATGCCACTACCGTCAGTTGACCGTGTGTTGACCGTTAACTCTCAAGTAAAAAAGACATATTTGCCCTCTCTGAGTTGTTAGGCATGCCCTATACTCAGAAGGGTAAATACGTTTTTTTTCCTTGAGAATTAACGGTCAACACACGGTCAACTAACGGGAGTGGCATGAGAGGGTGTGCAAATTTGGATCAATGGCATATAAGGGAAGAGCCAATTTTCAATGGCATATAAGGGATCAGACCAATTTTCAGTGGCATATAAGGGATTCTCTCTTATCTCTAACATATTATTAACAGTAGAAGTTACTATTGAATCTCTAACGATAGTGCTCTACTATCAATATTATCAATCGTACAAGTCATCTCAAGTGTTAATTTATGAGTTCTACTATCAGTAGAGGAAAATATTCTACTATAGTAGTATAAATCGATATGGTCCAATGAATAAGAAAGAACAAAAGGTGTACATTCATTCTACTACCAATAGAGGCCACCATAAAATTTGTCAGCAACGAACTACATTTTCTGAAGTGGTACTGAAATTAGGTGACATACCTCTAGGTTTGCTCTTGGCGTTTCGGGATCTTGGAGGTGTTGGTACCTCACCTTGATGCGATCTCCGCACCTCCTAATCACTGAACCGATGAACCAACAGCCCCTAATGCCACTGTCCTGGCTTAGGCATTCCACAAGGCAACCATGAGAGAAGTACTGCTCAAGATACTTCTCCAGGGCAGAGTTTATCAGAGCAGAAGCAGACTCTGTTGGTGCAGCATTGCGTGCAAGGACATTGATTGTTGTGGCCTGAACATTGGTCTCATCACTAGCAGTGGGGTTCTCCATGGTCCGATGATGATGATGACCTCTGGCTGATGATCTTGGTGTGTTCTTGCTGCCTTCAGATGCGTCGGGATGCACGGTCACGGGAGGTGTGCCTGAGACTATTCTAAATATCTCCTGTTCTGAATACCCTTGCAGTTGTGCAATGTCAAAGGTCTTGACATTGCTGTTATTGTCGATATGCCGGATGCATAGGTAGGGTTGCCTGTTGGTGTTGTTGGCAATTGCCTGAAACATCTCAAAGTGTTCTTCGTTCAGGACTGAAGCCAATCCATCTATGCATTCAACTCCGATGTCTTGCAAATTGTCGGAGTGGAGGATCTCTCTATCATTAACACCTGGAGAAAGTTGAATACCGGTGGAGTTGAGTGTGCGGAACCGTCGTATCTGAACCATCTTGTTTGCATGGTTATCCTCATAGAGTTCTTCCACATAAGCAACAAGTTTGTTGCCATGTTGGACCAAGATGTAAACAAAATCGTGAACCTAAAAAGGGTCATGAACACAATGGATGTAAGCCAAGATTCAGTCCTCTAAGATTTAAAAAAAATGTGCGTTGAATGATTGATAGGCGTACCATGAATGTAAATCCCCTTCGCCAGAAGGATTTGTAGCTCTTCCCTTTTTTAGAATGCGATTCAGGACCTAACCATTTGAAATCCCCTGAATCATTTCCAGCAGTTGATGATGAAGAGCCCTGAATGAATAAAATGGAATTTCCTTATTAACTTCAATATATAGTGGTTTATCGGAAGCATTTCTCATGAAAAATAAAAATGATCAGAAATTAACTTAATGTACCTTTGTTGTGGAGATATTAGCAAGTTTAGCATCTTTGCCATCATTGTTACAAATTGCAACTTCATCAGATGCAACATCTGTAATGGATGATACACTATTAGTATCGGCTAAAGCCAAGTAAATAAAGATATGCAAGCCACTTTCCGTGGTGGTGATTAGCTGACTAGGCCAAACATTAGCGCAGATTGTATAAATTCTAAATGTTAATAATACAATGAACAAAAAGGAAATCAAACTGAACATGTCCTAAAAAGATTGTTAATATGGGGTAACAAGGAACATTATCTCATTGAGGTATGAGGTATTGATTGCCCAATGATGAGGCCCATTCATTTTCCTAATGAAACAAAAGGAAGAAAGAACAGAAGAATGACATATATGTGTGTGTCACTAATGCTAGAAAAGTGCATATCTCTTGATTAATTCAATTCACAGCTTTGTTCAAGAGCAAGGAAATTAGATTAAAAAAACTGGATATTTGACTTATTAAAGAACAAAAGTGTAGAACCATTTAAGTGTAGTCCTATGACTCTGTGGGTTTAATGACTCTGCATGTCTGAAATATACAGATCTGGCAAGCCTTCATCTAAATTGCAAAAGCTTAAATCAAACCAACCCAAAGAAATATATGCAAGGTCAAGTCCATACTAATAGCAAGTGGAAACAATATACTAAAAAGCAAGCAAGTTTTTTTTATCATTCAACTCTATATGCATATCTTCACTATATATTGGAAAATTTTGCTCACAATATATACTACAAGCACGTTCATATTACAAAAATAGCATCGATTGCGTGACTGGCATATGGGGCCAGGGCCCTCTAACTATGTACTAGTACATAGGGGTTAAGATCCGCACGTCGGTAGCTCAGATATGTTTATAAATAAACTGACAGCGGTAAAGGCATAAAGGAAATGTCTACCGAAGTAAGACCCTCTCCTTAGATACAATAATAAACATATTAACTTTCAAAAAATATGTCCTTAAATGAATTCATATGGAGATCCTTTTTTAAGGGATATGTAGCTCCTTAGGTAAATCCACAATGCAATTGTAAGTTGCTTAGAGTAGAAGTATAAAGCACCTTTTTTTGCACTTTTTCCTGTGTGTGCATATGTATCTCTAGAGATAGGGAATAACCCATATTTAAGTTGGCCCTTACACATTGCTTTATACTATCCATAGCCACTAAAAGCTTTAATGGGTTTAACATTTCATCTTTTCATAAACAAACGAGAGCATAATCAAAGTAACAAACAAATATCAATAAGCTAAGCATAGAAAACCAAGAAACTCTCACATCACTCACCATAAATCTAACATAGGTGATAAAAAAATCATTTTTCCCTCTACGGAGGCATGAAATTGCAGCACAGTGGATAATAAGATGGAATGGACTTAGAAGTGCCTACCTGAGATGAGCATGTTGAGCCAGTGCACCACATCCTTCCTCGACTTCCACATGAGTCGTTCAACTCCAACAACCGCAGCCACCTGCAGCTCCTTGAGGGACTGTAGGAATGGCTCATGCACCACATAAGTCACCCTCCTATTGCTATGGTGTGTTCCTACCACCGCCAGCTCCCTCTCCCCATTACCAACGCCAGTGGCGCAACGGAGGTAGTAGTTCACAATGTCACGTTGCCCCTCATTACCTGGCACGGAATCTATCTCCAACCCAACCCACCTCCTTGTTGCTAGTACGGTGGTGTTTGCTCCAACCACCACATCTGAATGAGCCCTTCCACCCCCACGCCCCCGGTTGGGCCCGTTTCCATTCCTAGCCCCTCGGCCACGTGCATTCATTATCGTACTCGCTAGAGTAAAGAAATAGAGGATTAGTAACCACCTTGCGCTCGAGACCATGAAAGAAAGGTCAAGTGAGGGATTAAGCTTATAGTGGTAGGCTACAAAGAATTTGTTTGAAAATACTCTAGATAACGTTGGAAATTCTCATAGCCGGGCAATACAATGTTTGCTCTATGGGGTCTAGATGTTCTTATAGGAGGGGAATGAGCATGCTTTTGCATAGATGACCCTAGAGTTTGCTGTAATTGCACAATTAGGTTTCCTTTATGTGGGTTGTGAAATGGCAGCTTCACCCTGTAGATTTTGAGGAATTATGCTCTAGGGGTTCCTCATTGGGATGTTGGGGCTGGTTTGATCAGCCTAGTAAATATCATTTTGTTTGGGCTAAAACTTGGTCAAGTTTCAAAAATTAAAATTGTACTTCCTATATAAATGTATGCCAAAGTCAGGGAAAGTTCTACGCAAGGAGAACAATCACCCCAAATAATCACCCAAGTTTTGTCGTACCTAAAATTTTGTTCAGTTACTACTTGGGATAGTTACTAATAAAAACTATTATGTTTTTATGGCTTTCAACTAACCGTAGTTACCCTCTCCCATGGAAGCCAATGGTCAATTGTTGATTGATATTTTTCATAATTTGTCTCGGGAAAGTGTATAAAACGAAGTGTAAATTTCATTGAATCTCATGATTAGAGATAATCATGTTTATTTTCATTGTGATAGAATTGGGTATTGATCCCATGAGTTTGATACAATAGGCATATTTTAGTACAGGTTATAGCCGAACGTTTGAATTGGATAAAAGTTTACAAGGAGCAAAGGACTATTGTATTATTTTATTAGGGCCCTTTTTCACACAACTTCAGATCCAAGGTTTCTTGGACCTGGGTATCGGTAGCTCCACAAATCCATAGATCTAGATCTATGATTACGTTGATAACACTTGGATGAATCATTTTGTTCCTATTTTAGAGTAGAAAATAATTTTGAAAACAATATAATTTAATATACTCTTCAAGTTCTGTGTGGATCTAAGATCTAGAGTTGTGCCAAATAGAGCCATATTGAATATCAAACAACAACAAAAAAGACTATAAGAGATGAACCGATTAAAAGAAAATACCTTGTTTCCTCCTACGGTTATCCCACCCCATGGGGACGGTGGTGAGCGCTAGCACGATGGTTGGAGCAAGATCTGCAAGAGTTAATTTAGGTGGTTAATCAGTCAATGTATTCTACGAGGAACTACCTTTGAAATTTGTTAGAGTTCCTCATCATCTATTTCTGAGAATAAATCAGGGTTACACTTACTTGAATCTAGGCTAGGCCCTCCTGCCTCCTTGCATAGTTTTGATGCCTTTTCTCCATCGTTTCCCATCTAGAATATTTTTGGAAATTACAAGGGTCTCTTGCCTTCAACTATAGCGATTGTACGGGAAATTTTTTGGGTGAAGAGTTCTTTCCATAGGAAGTGACTATTTATAATCGTAGCCCACAGGTATTCGACCCCTTGAGTCGTTCTAGGTGCGATGCGGTGCGGTACCGGCTCCTAGTTTGGTTGCCAACTGTGTCTACATCACACTCAATCAGACATCACGTGTATTTATTTGCTGGTATAGTTAGTTTATCTTGTGGAGTGGGATTTCTCATGAATAAGCTTAATCTCGATTTTGTTTGATTGTATCATACCTTAGTGTCCTACCATGTCTTAACATAAATTGTGCCTCGATTATTTTTTATCTTAGGCTATAATCAATAAAAACGTTTGGGTAATTTGATTCTAAATATTTTGACTATAGAATTGTTGAATGAGGTCACATAGAACTTATATTCCATTAGACAAAATGAGAGGTGTAGTTAGAAAAGTAAGAGTACTTCATAAAAGAATATGTAGAAAAATTGAAGGGCTAGAATGAAAAAAAAATGATGGCATTAATACTAGCATAAGAAAATCCAAAAATAAAAGTGAAATGCCTAGGGAGGTCACCTGAAATTTGGTATTGATTTATTATGTGGCTACATTTGGACGAGGGTGGTGGTCCATGGTTGAATTCATATGTACAATGCATGATATTTGTTTCTATCTTAAGCTTTCTTATCTCTTCATTTATTCTTAGGGATAGAATGAGTTGGAGGTGGAGTTGATGATGTGGAAGGATAAAGAATTGAGTCATGAATGGATAAATGCATATGACACGTACTTTTGTTCTTGTCCTCTTTAATTATGTGATAGAATATGGTGGTACAGATCAAACATATGACGTGGAAAATTAAATGGTGCAGCCATAAAAATACAAATGTACAACAAACGTTAGTTGTTTACTTTCCTTTTGAGCAATCTTATCATTCACTCTAAGGGATGGAATACGACGGAATCACATAAAGGATATGATGTGGAAGGCCAAACTAAAAGAATTATCCATGCAAATGCCACAACATAATCAATTTTCTATGTTATCTTTCACTCTTTTTATACCAAGATTTTTATCATTTCTCTTCAGATGTTCAAAGCAATATAGGTGCCGAATATCCTAGATGATAAAACTAGCACTGATGTAGTGATATCGCAGTAATGATTATCATTTAGATAAAAATGAAGAAGTCTAGATGTAGGTGATATATGTGGTTCTTGCTATATTTTTCTTAAAAATATGTGTTATAGTAGGCATATAGTGGTAGAGAAACAAACAGAATTTGTACACTAGCGCTCAAAATTATGTTCTCTCTTTTTGTTGTGGAAAGTGAAAGTTTACTCTCTGTTTAAAAGATATCGAGTATATAACATAGAAGTCTAGAATTTTCAGATGCATGGATGCTACCATATGTCATATGTACTAAAACAAGCAAATCACTATGAAGCATAACAGGATAATCTATATGTATTCTCTATTTTTTTTCATCATTTATGTATTTTACACTAATATATTTTCCATTGTTTACAGCTCATTTCGGGGTGTGTTCTAGGTATGGTTTGATTATGTAAGAAATGTGCTTCTTTTTTTTGGAACAAGTGCCTTTCATGCATGATACACTTTTGTTTTTTTATTGAATGACATATTTTTCTTGGCACCATTATTCTTTTAGTTATATGTTTCTATCTCTATTAGCCCCTTCTTGTTGTCACCAAGGTGGAAAAGTGGAGTGCACGACTTGTAGAGCTAACAGGAGATGAGCACAGGGGCATCATGGCTCAATGCTGCCATGTTTGTTTGTTTTTTGATGTTTTCTCATATTTACTCCTTATTCAAAGAAACATTGATACTTAAAATTTCTACAGATTTAACCATATCCCACAATAGAAGTAATAGATGTGGAGTAGATACATGTAATAAATGATTGCTCTATTGCATATGCATGTATTGTTCTTCTCACAACTCAAAACATGGATCCTGCAGCATGCGTGCACATCTATGGTAGGTGATTTCACCCCGTGCATGCATACTAGAGAAATAAGCGAAATATGTACACTAGCACCTGAAAATTTGTTCTTCCTTTCTTGTGGAAAGTGAAAGTTTGCTCCCTGTTTAAAAGATACTGAGTATATAACATAGAAGTACAGAATTTTCATATGTATGGATGCTACCATGTGTCATATGTACTAAACAAGCAAATCACTATGAACTGGAAGATGAAAAATAAACATGGTCCCTAACAAATCCATTGAGTGTTTCTCCTTTTCCAATTCTTTTTTGGTCGGTTTAATCTTGATGTTGTCAGGGTTTCTTTTTTTTCCCCTCTTTTTTAATGTCTTTTCTTCTTCTTTTTGTCCTATTTTCTGCCATAGAGAAAAATGATGGCTCAAGTCCAACCCCACCAACCTATTGTTGATGTGAAAACACAACGGTCTGGGAGATCTGCTTAACTCCAGTGCAGGTCCAAGGCTAGCCTCGAGTGTGTCAAGGGTGTGCCAGCTGATTTGATCATGCAATCAACAAGAAAGAATAAAAGCAGAATTAGTCGGTCGAAAGGATGGAGGTAGACCAAATCGGCTATGGACCGAGTATATCAAAGAATATTAAACCCTAAACATGCCTAATCGGCTGTAATGGTCTATCAAGTTTAATAAATTGGTTTAAGACGGTATTATGAAAGTAGCCGATGTGACAATACTTAGAGCAAGAAAGATAATGTACTAGCTAATACTCTAGTACAGACCTATATAAACATATTGATCTATATAAACATATCAAACAGAAATCGGGTAGAAGGTGCAAGGATCTAGCCGATACTGACTAAAGCTTGACTGACTAAAGCTTGATATGCTTATATAAAATGATCTATCTATATAGGTGGCGAATATACATGAAACTAGTAGTGAAACATGTATATTAAGTAAGATCGGCTGAAACCCCGATACTATCCTTATTATGTTTAATTAAATGCTAGTTTGCATGGTTCTAAGCACGACTAAAGATGATGCATCTCAAAGTATGAAAAGAAGCATACAGTATAGACAATCAAGCAATTAAACACTTTTCAGGATGGTAGATGCCTTAGCTAATCTAATCTAGCAAGACAATTTAGCCGAGACTAGCATAAACCCTAAAGCAAGCAGCAGCCAATAGAGCTAAATTGAGAAGCTAAGAATAGATTAACTAAGACATATGATAACAATGACTCGCGATATCGAGCTTAACACGTATAAAGTGACATGTTAGCCCCGATAGCGCGGGCCATTGAGACGTGTTACCTCTTTTGCTAAGAACTCGCTGAAAACGAAGAAAAGTAAAAAAGGGTGGCTATGCGCCAAAGTTGTATTGGATTATCTCCCGTTTTACAATGCTATAGGGTTCATATTTATACCCCGAGTACAAACTTAGTCCATTATGGACACAACTCAAACATTTCTAAAGTTAAGATACAAACAAGACCATATACGGCGGTCTCTTACCAAATCTCTAACAAACCGACTCAATATCCAAATTAATAGATACAATTGCCTTAATCGAGCCCTCTCTCTAATTGGCAATGACGGTTATCCCAATCTAGGCCCATACCAAGCCCAAGTTATACTATATCAGTTGTATCGGCCATCAATCTTCTCAACTTATTCAGTCTTCAGCCTCTGTTTTCAGCCGATGCGCAGTCCGATCCTGAGTCCAACTCGATTCAACACCAAATCCGCTTCAATCTTCCTTCTTCCTTTCCGAATCTGATGACAAATTCCGTTGCTAACACTTGTTAAGGTTTTTCTCCTCTCTTTTTATTCAAATCTTTTTATCTTATTATCTCATTTTTGTTCTTTTTGCTGGTTTGCCTCTGGTTGTTTTATCCCTTACAATTTCTTTTTTTTTTGGGGATGGTTTTTGCACAAGGTGGTTTTCATTTCCTTCCCTCTAGTTCAGTCCTTCCATTTGGCCTTGGATGATTCTCACAACATATTTCATTGCATCTTTCCTTTGTACCAGCTTGACAGCCATGTAAGTTTAAGGAATGTAGTTTGGTATGTGCAAGATTACAAACTTTGCCATCTCCCAATTACTCATTGAAATAGTTGTAATGATTATTGTATTTCCTTTTTTCTTTTCAGTTGTAATGAGCATCGTCAGTGTTATGACTTGATTGTACCTCTTAAATGCACTATATGACTTGATTGTACCTCTTAAATCATAATCATTTGAACCCATATGCAATGTCAATAGAAAATGCATAAATGTTGAATAACATCATTACAGCAGGGGCAAACCTTCCCTTGTGGCATGGTATGGCCATTGCCATAGCTACCCGACAGCAAAAAAAAGGACCCCTACATGTCATCTTTTTCCATGATGTCGAACAAGCAAAGCAACGTTTGGGTGTATGTGGCGTTAGCAGAAAGCTTATTGTGGGTGAGAAACGAGTGTACGCTAGGAGCCTATCACTCAACCTAGCTTATGTCTATAGAAAGGTCGTGGGTGAATGCATTACACGAGGCCTTAGGCGTCTTCCATCGTAGGATAAATAGCTCATAGTTCAAGCCTTTTTACACTGCCAAAGAAGGAGCACCATTGAGTGAATCAGATTAATATTTATTTGAGTTGCTTTGGTCATGAACCTCGTTAAACTTTTATTTGTTCTATCCACTCTGCTATCATTAGTATTGCAGCTGCTGCATTTTTTATAAAGCTATTTGAGGCGTCGAGAAAATATTAATAATTGTTTATGTTATGGATCATGTTGTTTACCTTTCTATTTGTTACCAACAAACTTTTTAGCAGAAATTTCAATATGTATAGTTTATTATTATAGTATAAACCTTAAATTTTACTTATATATACCTAAATTCATTACCAAGGGATCTTATCACGTATCGACATGTTTGAGATTATATATAGTTCCGACATAGCTAAAATTTTATACTGGGTCTACCACTGAATTACAGTGCTATGTAAAATCGCCCATATAAATCACATCATGGCCAAATGGGTGGTTATGCATCCAAATTCCAGTCATACTACATTTTCAATGCTACAATAGTTACAACAATATAATGCGAATAAATGTTTCATGTATACTAAAACATACAGCTCTGGATAATCTGTATTTATTTATTTATATTTTGTTCATCCTATCTTATTTGAACTTGTATACACTGTTG